AGTCAACTAATTATCACACAATACTCAAAAACATGAATTAACAAAGAAAAGAACTATTTAATCCAAACTAAAATTGATAGAGCAAAGTTGTATATCATCTAGGAGTCGCATTACTTCTCCCTTAAGAATCTCAATCACATCATACAATCCTTGTGATATGGATTTACATGATCTAGTTACCATAGATGGTAATTCTTCTTTTAATACAATTGTTACCAGAAATGAGTTGTGCATTCGTAATTGGACTTAGAGTCCTACTATCTCGGACTTTCTTAATGAGTCCAGCTCACTATGCTTGGTTAACCCGGCCTAAGATTCTTGTAGAGGCCCAAATTAAAAGTTGAATAGTCTTAGTGTTTTGGTGGTCCCTTTATGTGCTGATATCTTGATCTTTTACTTATAGGAGAATATTTTCAATAAATCTGTAATAGAAACTGTTTCAAACATTCAAAATTTTCCAATACATTGTGTATATATCAGAGTTCATTGGAGACCCAACGTGTGTGTATATACCATATATCAGAGCTCATTGGAGACCCCAAAATTTATACTTTTACCAAAAAAAAGGAGAAATTATAGCACAAAAAAAAATAGTAATAGTAAATGATGTAAAGTAAAAAAAAAAAAGTTCAGACTTATATAAAGGGTAATTATGACATTATAAAATAAAGGATGATACATTAATGAATTTAATGATTTTCTTATCATTTCCTTCAACAAAAAAAGGTAAGGGGAGTACAATTGAAGAAAAATGGAGTGTGAATATGACATCCCTTAATTTATGTTTGTATTTTAATTGGTAACTTAGGTTTGTATTTTAATTGGTACTTTTTAATTGATAACTTATTTTATTATTTATTTATTTTTAATGATAGTTAGTAACTTATTTTATTATAATTTTATTTTCAATAATGATTTAACATTCTTGACATTTCTTGTACTTTTAATAATAATATATATATATATAATATAAATATATAAATATAGATGTATATATTTAGAAAAATTATAAAATATTTTACATAAATTTAAATTCAAATCAAATTGAGGGGCTATTTTTGTTGGTTGTAATTCAATAATATTTCCTGTTACTTTGTGTTCAATGGAAGTTCAACTAGGGATCCGAAAAAAGAGAAAGATAAAAATAAATAAATAAATTAATTAATTAATAAAAGGAGCAGAAATGCGTGGAGAAAAGAGATAAAGTCTGGAATTTTTTTTTGGCTTGGTCCCTCGGGAGGTGCAGAGTAATTTACCCTTGAAGCAAAAAAAGCAAGTTTCCTAAATTAAGCATCCCTTGAAAACTAAGCAACTTACAAAAGAAAGAAAATATCATTTTCAATCTGTGTAGCTTTTGTGGGAAAGTAAATTTTGGAAACTTTAGTGGGGAAGTAAATTTTGGAGAAAACATATTCACACTAAATAGTTGCACTGAATTGCTTAACCGAATAATTTTTAATTTTTAATTTTTAATTAGTTATTTATACCAAATACAACTAAGTGGAGATCTACAATTCCTTATTTGCTACCTAATTGGCCAATTAAAAGAGTAGGTATTGTAAGTCACTGCAACTATTCAGTGCAAGAATCATTTTCCAAATTCATTACATAAGAATCTTTATTTTTCCCAAAATTTTCAATCAAACTTTCAAAAAAAAAAATGAAATTTGAACTCGGTTTGTTAGAAACTAAAATTTTTGAAATTTAGAAATAGAATTGGAAAAGGAATTTGGATTTTAATTAAAATTGAACTTTATTAGCAATTTGGAATAAATTAAAATTTCCTCCCGGATTTGGTGATGACCCCGCTACGATTATATATGTATCTTTTAATTTTTTTTATACATAAAATATTTTTCATTTTATATTTTTAAGACTTTTGTTACTTTACTATAAGTGCCGGTTAATATATTAATATTCACCTCTTAGTAATTTAAAAGTTGGGCCAACTTATTTATTAGTCCAATTTGAACACATTTGGTTAGTTTATAATTTTTGTTTTACTATAAAAATGGCATAACCCGAGCTACCCCGCCGTACCCTACAATTAAAATGAGTACATGGGGCGAAGTCAAAATTTTGTCTACTAGAGTAAGGATGGAGATGGTATAATAATTCTAAACTCGTTCCAAAATAGGGACGGAGTTTAGTATGATAAATTTTCTAACGGGACGGAGTAAAATTTAGCCAAACCCGCCTCAACAAACCCGCCTCAACTCCGCCCCGTTATTATCCCTAATTAAAATCGTGAAAAAGGTAGCTTTGTAAAAAATAGTAGAAGAATAATTTTGGAAATTTATTTCCCCTTCTCCTTCTCACGTTTGCATAATTCAAGAATCATACTGAAACTGAAACAGCTTCTATAACAAGCAAGAGTGGGACGACTTGTTTTCAAAGTTGGCAAGAGATCTCTTTCTTATATTCAGTTCATAAAACCAGAGAGAGGGCTGATGGAGAGTGAAAAGAGACCAAGAAGGGGTATGAGGATGGAAAAAACAATGCTTCCCTTTGATCTCATGGTGGACATACTATCACGACTACCCGTCAAGTCTCTTGTACGTTTTAAGTGCGTATCAAAGTCTTGGCTCGTTTTATTTGTTGATTCATATTTTGTCAAGCTGCATCTAAATTGATCTCACAAACAAAAACATGTTTTTTCGGGTACAACGTATTCATTCGATTCTCCGAGCAGACCCATTGTACTTTTTTTTTTTCAGAAGTAAACCCATTGTACTTTCCCTTAACATTAATGATCACACAAAAGCAATTCACGTTGATTCTCCTCCGCTTCCTTTTCAGCCTGAACGGATCGGATGATCGGGTTCTTGTGATGGCTTGATATTATTGGAAACTTATCCAACACGTCTTCTTCACTTGTTGAATCCTTCGACCAGAGAGCTCAACAGATTACCAGACTCACCATGTCTAAACAGACGAATAGTTTCATACGGGTTCGGCTATGATGCATCCGCTGATGACTACAAGGTTTTGGAGTGGTCTTATGATGATAGGAGTGTGTGTATATATACACTAAAAACAAATTCTTGGAGACGGGTTCAAGACTCTCCTTATGGTATGGTGAATTGTCCGGGGACATTCTTCAAAGGAGTTCTCCATTGGTTGAAGGATGACAATATAGTTTCTTTTAATTTACCCCAAGAGAAATTTCAAAAATTTCTGTTACCTTATTTTGAAACACCATCAGAACTCTACTTCATCGGAGTTCTCAGAGGATGTCTTTGTATCGCGGGTTGTATCCCCGGTGATTCTAGTGAACTTTGGCTGACGAAGGAATACGGCAAGAGAGAGTCTTGGACCAAAGTTGATGGAAGGATTGATGATGATGAAATCCAATTTATGAGCCATGAGAATTTAGTTACATACAACCTAAAAACAAATGAATATAGCAGGTATGTACAGATTCCCAGATCTCATGGACTTTGTGGTACCATTAAATATAATGAATATGGAGATGTAGAGACTTGTCTGGAGAGCATTGTTTCAACCCGTCATCGCATTTAGAGGCAATATGAAGGACAAGAGAAGGTGATCGAAAATAACCAAGCTTGGGCTATTCATAATTTCTTCCTTAGCTTCATATACCAACCAGTTTCTTTCTTTCTTTCTTTATTATGGTATGTAGCAACACCTGATTCTCACAAAGATCGCAGTGATTTTTTTTTTTTTGGTTGTAATAGATGAAACTACTTGCCACAATTTTTTTTGTAGCACAGAACCTTTTGTCACAACTTTTGGAGATGTGACACAACATTTTTGTTGTTAGACACCAAATTCCTTATAGTGCGACAATACTTCACACACGAGTGCAATACTGTCTTTCCTCGGCCTAGTCTCTCATAAGCCGAGTTCGAGTCAACTCTCCTATAACTCCAACTCAACCTTTCATCGAGTCAACTCTCCTATAACTCCAACTCAACCTTTCATCACCGCCAAGTGATGAAGAGAAGAGCTAGGAGCCCTCCTATATATCTTGATCACAAACGATGGCCCTCCGCAGAAGCTAACTGAGGATGTGAGTGTCCGAGCGAGTCCAACTCCGTAGCCAATTTAGGCTTTCGACTCTCAAGCGCTTCTGTGAAGATAACGTGCCCCGCCATATGCAAAGAAGTTTCATGGCAGCATGTGACGACTGAAAGTCTATCAAGAATGAGTTCATCTTCTTGCATCACTCCCACTCAGCGAAGCCTCAGTCTTTTATCCATATATGCTTCAATCAGTAAGATGTAGGATTTAACTCAGAAATTTCTTTTTGCTTCTGCTGCTGCTGTTTAATGGGATATGCCCTTGAAAGGTAGTGTTACTTTTTTGGAATAATTCACAAATGGAGGTCGGGATTCGAATCTAAGTGGGGGCATGTGTAAGTACCAACTAAGTAAAAAAATAATATTAAATAAAAAAATAATTAAAGTCCAAATTGATCAAATTAGAATGTTAAGCTTGAAGTATTCAAAATAAGAAGTTTGGGCATGAACTCAAGAGTAAACTACTTTATGTTTTTGAGAAGGTGCCTTACGGGCTATTGCCCATTTGATAATAGTTGACTACACTTAATCAACCATTCTAACTGAATCACATCTGACATCCAATAAAAAATTTATTAGTCTCGTGCATTTGGTACTCTCCGAACTCTATTATAAAAAATATTTTGTTATGTTTGGGAGCAGAATTTGGAATTAGAGGAAGTTTTAGTTTAAAATTTGTACTAAATTTTCTTCAATCCCAAATCTAAGATGACGATTTGGTGCCACGGGTTTGGTTTAGACACACAAATCGCTTAGACATATTACTAAACATCATTTCGAGACTCAACATGTATGTGGACATATATCAAGAGCTCATAGAAGAGAGGCTCGTAATCTTCATTGCTAGAGTGAATCACTCAAGAAGGCATCACACAAAAACAAAATGAGAATACCTCACACACACACCCCACATATTTAATGTGCCAAACTTCATAAACACTAGAAAATACTGAGAAATAGCACGAACGATGGCATAAACAACCGCTTTATATTGATATAGATTGTAATTTGTACAATTCATTCTCACTGTAAAATGCTAATTTTAGCATGTCTCACATCTACACCCCAGTTCCTTTTCTCTTTCTCGTCTAACCTAAATATTTTAGGCGACAGTTTATATGTCATATTGGTACAAAAAAAAGCTATACATCCGATAGACCTCGTCCAATTTATAAAGGCTGACCAAGACGTAGTGAGTGCTTATCCACCCAACTGATTTAATCTCTCGAGTGTTGCATAAGTTCAAACCACTGCAGCCAGAAGTAGGTAGGTACGATAAGTACATATAACATCAACAAATCCACAAGAAAAATGCTCAACAAATATCCATTGTTTTTTATAATTGCAAAAAAAGTACCTGTCTTAATAAATCAGCAAGGGTCCTAGGGAGTGCTTCAATGTTCTTCAGCACAATATAGTATGGAAATGGGAATGAATCTAAATACTTTGAAAATTTAATATTCCCACCCTGAAATGAGGCCTCCTGCAATAAAGAAACAAGACAGACAAAATTATGTGGTTATTGGTGATTGTTCTTGTTCAAAAAGTAGCAGAAGATATAAAATAATATTAGTAAAAATAGAATAAAGTGGTACCATGAGGTCCATTATGGACTCTTCTGGGCTATCAAGGAGCAGAAACGCAACCATTCGTTTTCTATTCAGAGCATCCCTAACACATCGCTTCAGATTCTCCTGTGATACATTATGAAAAATATAGAAGAAAAATGGTGAAGCAGATTTCTAATTTCAGATCATAACAATAGAGAGGCAAGTAACTTAATACTACAAACACATCAGAAACGTACCTTTTCATGGAACCGACCATCAGCTATGATCAAAACTAACTGCTGTAGTGGATTCTGTCCAGATGGGAGTCGTGCATTTGCTACTGCAGCATCCAGCAAATTGTTCAAAAATTTCAAGAGATCAACCATAGGTTCATCTGCTATGGTATTATCTTGCTTAAATGTCAAGCTCGAGATCATCTGTCTCAGCAAAAAAAACATCGAAGGGATCAATTAAAAAAATTCCATGATATTCTTTGCAACATGAGACGAAAAAAGTAAACGAGGGGAAGAAACAGAAAACAACTGATAGGTACACCTAGATAATGCTTTCATTGCTAATAAATTTTTATTTTTTTAATAAAAAAAAAAAAAAAAAGCAGCAATTTCGGACAACGGAATCATATATGCACAAGATACCAGCAGCAGCCAGAATACAAACCTTGATCCCAGCCTCTGGAGTGAGTGGTTGATCAAAGTCATGCAACAACTTAATGTTGCCCTTCTTTCCAAAGCTTGCGACAGCCAGTTTTCCCACTTCCAATTGAGACATGGCACGACATACTGTCACCAAAGCTTCAATAGCAACATCCCCACAATGAGACTCTGACATGCTGCGGGAATCATCCACAGCAATAACAATTTGGTAGTCCCTTTTATTGGGCCGGGTCCGCCTCAACCATATTTTATCTTTCCGATAAAGACTTGCAATGTAATCAATTACCTGGTGAATTTCCAATAATGAAGCAAGGAAAATTATGTACCAATTATGTAGCATTGATATATTGACATACAACCAAAGTTAAAGGATTCAACTAAAACGAATAAACTATATTCTTCTTTACCTTCTTCATGTTAATCCTTTTGCCAGTCCTGTAATCGCCTTGGAGCTTGCTAGCTAGAGTGGGTTCCATTACCAGTCGCAACTGTTCAGCCAACTCTTGAGACAATCTTGTCGTGAGCAGTTCATATCTTCTCCAAACAGTAGTAGCATTATTTTTCACATCACTGGACACTTCCTCGAGATTGTGGGCTTTCCCCAGTTCATTGTCACTTACTGAAAGTTTACCAAGTTGATTTATGTCCTCACTCATGTAAGATCTATTCAAGGTGACTAAACTCTCTGACAGGATTCCTGGATGACCATCAACATGGCTATGGATTTCTGGTGGTTCCTCTGGTGGCATCTCTTGGTCTGAGATCTTCATCTGCTTCTCAATCTCATTTCTGAGACTCAAGGCATGACTCTTAATAGGTACTTTTTCGGAATCATGCTTGTCAATTTCCATTGCAGCAATTTCTTCTCTATCTAAATCTTTACCATCTGCATCAGCCTTGTCACCATTGATATTCCGGTCCATCTGTTCAGATGTTGCAGGCCCCAATGCCTGAGCGGTTCCCTTGTCAAACTCGAAGGTGTATCCATACTCATCTGCATCCTCATCCATCATGTCATCTGGAGCCTCTACATCGTTGTTCTGAAGATCAAAAGACACTTTGACTCTTTCTTTCCATTCATCAAGTGCATTTCCAACATCACGACAAGGGTTTGGTTGGGTTTTCTGAAGAGAGGAAGAATCATGTTGAGGCAACTGAGATTTAAATTGGTCATCACTTAATCTTCCACCATTTGATGAGTCAGCCACTGTAATTTCAGTCTCGGTGGCATTAGGTAAGCCTCTCATAGGAGAGGGGTCATGCTGAATCCCACTGCTGTTAGAACCTTTTGCTTCTGGTGCAACCTCTCTTAGGTCTGCTGCATGTGAATCACCTTTTGGTTGTGTATCAGATTTAGTATTGGGCACTTGATCACTAAGTAAGTTGGAAGCATTCCGTTCAACCGCATCTTTTTCGGGTGCCGCCAAGTCCATTTCTGTACTGTCTGTCTGATTGTTACCTAGATCATCCCTCTCAGCATTGCCATCAACTTCTTCAGTTTCGGCCCCTTCCAGAGTTTTTTCTATAGAATTGGCCTTTCCATCTTCACCACTCTCATTTTCAGCAGACTCATCAAGCTCGTTTGGATCAGCACTTTCCATGGGATCAGCACCTTCCTGTTCATCCATATCAATATCTTCTTCAGAGCCCTTATTTGGCTCATCAAGCTTCAATCCTGTAGGATCTGCAAATGCCTCTTCTTTGTCTATGTTAATGTCTTCAAAATTCTCAGTATTGTCAAGACCATCTTGGTTTCCACTATCATTTTGTTTTTCAAATTCATCAGGATTGAGTTCTTCAGCTTCATTAGCAACAGAGGAAGGATCTTCCTTAGCTCTTAGCTCTCTACCGCTAGAATCACCATCTTCGACAGAAGGCCCAGGCTCATACTTCTCATTTCTGTTATCAGGATTTTCATCATTGTGCTTATCCCAGAGCTTCTCATCAATGATTTCACTGTCTGCTCCTGTTTCCCCCATTGCAGACTCCAGTTGCTCATTATCACCATCTTCTTCACCATCATCTCCACTATCCTCACTAATACTAAATGTATCAGCAGCAAAATCCTGCTCCATCTCTATCCCTTTATCATTTTTACTTGGAGTTTCACTTGAAGCATCTTGTTCTTCATTCGGCTGCAAAAGCACAAAGGACAAAACATATTACAGATCATGTCCAGAATTACGTGCTAGGTAAAAAGAGGCTACATTCAGTATGCGTACTAATGCTATACCTTTACAGAGGCCACAAGAAGCTGATCTTCATTGTTTAATTGATCACTAACATCAGTCTGTCCAGCACCCTCTCCCATACCTGTTCCACTTGCATTTTGAGTTTTATCATAGATAGTGTCCTCGTCTTCTGTAGAAGTGCCAAAGCCTTTGGAATACAGTGAAGCAAACATGCCTGCAAGCACATGAGTCACCATAGATACCTGCATCGTAATCAGATAGAAATTTCATATGAGAAATATTCCAGCCCATTGATTACTTGTAAATTGAGAATAAATGAGAAAATATCGTGAATGTGACAGGAAGGATTCAATGTATCTTCTTCCCAGAAGTGTGTGATATTGTTGCCTGGGGGTGTGGGTGGTTGTTGGAGGATCAAGCAACTAATAAAAAGAAAAGACGGAAACAAATATATTTGTCAAATAAGATTACAAAATTTATACACATATATATGAGAGAATTTTACATATGGTATGCAAATTTTATGCATATTGTACTGTGTTTAAGGTCCATGGACACTTGATGAATATGGTTTAATTTAGACCATCTTCCAACCAAAACTTAATGCAACATCAGAATATAAATTAAAACGAGCTCAATTCATGTAAAGGTTTGGGTAAATCAACTTACCATTCTATGCATTGCTAAGAAATCATGCAGAAGTTGATTGCCAAAGGCCAACAGCAAGTCCAATAACAAATAAAGATGCTTTAAATATGCTCCAACTAGAACAGGTAAATTGGGATCTTCATTGCTATAATCGTTTACCAGTTTTACCTGCACAAAACATATTGCATAAGAGGGCAAACAAAGAAAGTAACAATAAAAGAAAAGGTTCCTATAGAACTAATAGTACGAGAATGGTACATATAACTTACTCCATGATATATAGTCTTGAGTACTTCATCACATACAAGGTCCAAGCGCAGATTTTCTATACACGATTCAAAGACTATTTGACATTCAGTAATATTGCCAGGCGATCCGTCAGGAAATGCATGATCATTATTCAGTGAGCCTACTCTATCAAATGCATCCATTATACATTTATATGCTCCTTTCAGGGCATCACCAAATTCAGCTTTGAGTTCACAAGATTTTTTCTGGAAACATTTGGACTCTTCCTCTATATTTTCTGATTCATTTGTACCTTGTAGAGCATAGTTGTATTCCTCTGCTACTAAGTTACCCTGAGAAAGTACAAATAGTTTCCATTCAGAAAAATTAAAAACGCCTACCTTGATGTGCAATGCAATGTTCTCAAAATCCATATCTAAACAAAATTGAGCGAAGTGTTTTGTATTGATCAATGAAGATCCTATCAGAAACGTAAGCATCCAAGTAACAAATAGATTTGCAGTCACTGAGATAGAGAAATATGTTCCAAACTCTCCAATGAACAATAAACATATGTATGTAATGTACATATACCATTTTAAATATATCTTCAAAACGACCAAGCAGAGCCTTTTCAACCGATCTTCTATCCATAAGTTCCATGCGGAAAGTACAGAGATGCTCCTCAAACTCCTTTATAAACTTGAAGTTTTGTAGTACCAACTCTTCCATTTGCTTTGAAATTATGCTAGGGTGCAATGGAACGGTCTCCACGGTTATAATTCTATTATGGCCAAGGAGATAATTATCCAGAATATCCTGTCAAAATTCCCATAGGTACACAAGAGCTAGAGTTAAATTTGAACAGGCCCCACCCAAATCGAGGGAGAGAGGGAGAGAGCACCACAATAAACAACACTGATTACCTTAGATTTCTGAAAATCTGGAACAAACTTCTCAATGAAAACATGAAGCCTGTATGCAGCAGATTTGACATTTTGACAAGAGTCCAAATGGTTATCTTCAACTGCTTTTAGCAGCAAACCTTCCTCATGCAACATGACACACAAACTATCAAGTAGTTGCTGCAACATGAAGAGAACTTACAACCATTACCATCTAAAGATCCAGACAAAGGTAAAAATAAATAAATAAATCATACGCACCACAAACCATTGCCAGGAGAAAGGTTACCTTTTGTTGCCACATACATTTATATGTGGCATGTTGGTTATGGATCAAAGGGCAATCCACACTACTCATGCAATTAAAAGCAGAGGCATTTGAAAACACATTTTCTAGAGGCAATATGCATTTTCTCAAGCATGTCAGTTGCTCAGTAAAACCATAGGCAGAAGCCCGTTGCTCTTGTTGTATCACAATTAGATGGTCGATGAAAGACCATGATCTATTGACCTGCTTAAACGTGAAATTTACAAGCACGTTAAGTTCACTCGTTATAACAATACTGCACAGTAAATGTTATGGAATGACAAGAAGACATAACCAGCACTGAGGGCACATCACCGTTTAATGCACCAAAATTTCTCTCACTTTTGAAGATATTCCTAATAAATGTTTTAACTGATTATTGCCAAAACCAAATTGATTTTAAACCTAAAAAGGGCCACATGTAAAACCATGTTGCCCCAAAATTTTGTTTAGAAATATTCAAGGAAACCTGGTGTTCTTTCTCTCTTTCCTTCTTTCATATATATATATATATATATATATATATATATATATATATATATATATATCTTCTTTCTAAAATATAAAAGGACTGGACAACAAGTTTGTTAGTCCCTCGTCCAATTGAACTGACCGCAATTAAAAATTTTACACATGGCATCAGATTGATGAACCCAGTCCAGAAGTTGGACAAACCCAGCAGGAATCAGATTGATGGATCAACCTTTTATGACCAAACAGATCAGCCCTTCAGATTTATCAATTTCTAAGAATTTACCTGTTCAAGAGTAAAATCTTTATGGAAATTCAGGCAAATCTGCTGCAGAAGGTGGACTGATGCCAAGCTCTTAAAGTAGTCTTGGTTTACTGTAGTCATTTGAGTATCCAAATTTTCATAGGGCAAACACTGAGACTGGCTTGAAGCAGAAACATCAACATCCATGGCAGACAGTCTACCATGTGTCAGCAGCAAATGCTTCACTTCATATGATGGTTGAAGGAGCCATGAACCAGATTGATTGCATCTGAATTGATCCTACAACCATCAGAAGGAAAGCCACTATTAAGCTTGGAGAAACCAAACAACCGACAAGTAAAAAAGTAACAGCTTACAACAAATATTAAAGCATAATTGTCAAAAAAATAAAATAAAGTAAAATTGTTCCGGGAAATTGAAGTTCTTATCAGATGTAAGGCCATAAAACCACAAAACTGGAACTAGATACCTCAAACAATGTAGACCTGTGTTTAGACAGCCCACAGTTATCTAAAAGCTTTAGAAGGTCAGACAAAGCCCTCCTCTTCCCTAAATTCTTATTTTCATCCTTCCAGAGATCACCACAATCAATTGCAGTTCTGCATATTGTTTCAATTGTACACCACAATTGCTTCCTTTTCTCCTGGTGTCCAAGGTGTGAAGACTGGGGAGCTAAGAAATGCCCAAAAGCACTTCCAACCTCTGCAAATTTGAGTTCTTATGAGTTCAATATTGATAAAGTTGTCTAATGAGGAGGAAGTGGAAATTTCCTCTGGAAAATAGATATTGTGAGAAGTGAAAGAAAAAGGAAAGGAAAAAAAAAACCTTCAGTATCCTTAAAAGGAAAATATAGGAAGTCAAACTCAGGTGTCCCCTCAACATTCAAGCTTTTCCAAGCAGAATATGCTTTTTCCCTCCAATCAGCAAACCACATGACCCTGTATCAGAAGAAACAATTTTAAGTTCAGAAAGAAGTGTCCAGCAGGAGATGGGAAAATACAGAACGACCAAAATAAAATAAAATAAGCAAACATACCAGTTGTCATCTCTAAACTGAATCTGATTGCAGGCAACATTCAAGATCTCTCTACTCTGATTGAAAGAATCACCAATGATCTTCGGACCTTGTATAGAAAGAGTTCTAATCTCACTTTGACCTACTTCTCGGTTAAGAATAAGCAGTACAGGTTGTTGTAGAAGATCCTGTGCCAATTAAAAAATTACACCAAGAATACAATTGAGACCATTTGTATGCAATAAAGCTTAAAAAGCAACAACTATATTTCTTATAATATTAATTCACAAGAGGAAAAAATTCCATGGCAGGGGACAGAAGGAACTCCTTCACAGGTAAATTAGTAGATAGAAAAGTTAGACCTAAGCATTAAAATAACAAAACAGGTGAAGAAGTCTGTGAATGGGTGCCCTCATTTAATGTCAGCAACTTTGACCCATACATATCGACAGCCAGTTTCGATAATTTGCTTTTCCAAGAAAAAGGTTGTAGAGATATAGACATACATGCAAACAGGACTAATAAAATGAGGTGTTGAAGAAAGTACTGTCAGGAAGATGAAAAACAATCTTTTCAAAGCAACATTTCATATCATAAAATAAATTTATAATGAAATACAACCAGGAAAAGGACTAGGGCAGACATCTCAAAGCTGTAGATGAAGCATCTTGCCCAATAAAATCCATGTCATCTTCTAATGAAATAAAACTAAAAAAAGGACTAGGACAGACATCTCAAGGCAGCAGATGCGGCATCGTGTCAAATAAAAATCCAAATGGTGATAACATTCCAAACCCCATTAATTGCAATAAGAATAAGGCAACACCGATAACATAAAGCGGTCTATGGATGAAAGCATATCCAACATTTTCACACAAGGCAAACTGTAGTACAGTAAAACGTAAAGCGTATAGGCAACCTTATAATTCAATTAACAAAATAAAGCAAAGTTGATAAATGTTATGGACCATGACTATATGCTTCTTCTTGCAATTTCTATGTAGTTCAAAACACAAAACTCTTAATTTCTTAATCAATTGCATACTAGCAGAGTAAGGCATGAAAACACTAAGAACAGTATCAACCACAACTTAATAAGTTAACACGTGGACCTAAATAATATTCTGATACAATATGCCAAAATCAAAATTGTTAGTAGATGTAAACTCGGTTACATGTACACTCCTATGTCTCTTCGCATACCCGTGTGAACACAACACGCCAACACAGCATGGCTATGGGTACTGGATGTGTCCCAACCTAAGAAGCACGGACACGGATACAGGACACGGGCACGATACGATACGGACACGGGGATACAGCAAATCTCAAAAAACAGGACATGGGTAAGGCGGGATATGACAATTTTTTTAAAAAATAATAATTTTTTTATCAGTTTCTTGTAATATTTTGAATCAAAATGCACTAATTAACATGTTTATAAATACATAAGCAAGTAAAGTAATTAAACAAGGAGAAGTACAGAGTAAGAGTAGGAAGAACATAGAAAAAGAAAAACCCTAACTCTAAAATCTTAAAAACCAAAAAAATGCAAGAAAAGATATATATATATATATATATATATATATATATATAATAAAAATAAAATAAAAGATGAGCAATTAAGCATATTGTGGCGAATCTGGGGATTAATTGGGTAATTCAGGTGTTTTAAATGCAGTTTAATTTATTATAACTTGACCCCCATTTTTTAACCTATAAGTTTTTAAACATTACATTATGAACCCCGTGTTTTAAATGCAATTTTGTTTTATTATAACCGACCCCATTTTAACCTACAACTTTTTAAATATTACAATATGAACCCCGCCGTATCCCAAAAATATCCAAGGCGTATCCAGAAAAAATAAAAAATAAATAAAAATTTGGATACTTCTTTTTTTTTTTTTTTTTTTTTTTGATAAGTAAAATTGTATTAGAATGCGTTCAAAAGGGGAACGCGTCCCAAGAACTGTACAAAGACGAAAAAAGAGAAAAAATGAGATCTATGAACCCAACGACCCCAAAAAGTCCATAATCTCATCCAAAGAGATACAATCTCGCCCCATACCCCAACCAAAAAGGGAGCAAAGAATAGTGAACTTCAAAGCTCCAATGGAGGTCCCCTCCCCATTAAAAGATCTACGAATACGTTCTTTCCAAAGACTCCACCAAATACAAAGAGAAATCACCCTCCAGAAATTACGAGTACGCACTCCTACCCTTTGACCCCTCCACCCGTCAATCAGATCCTTTGTGGTCCGGGGCATAACCCATTGGACACCAAAGAGACCCAATAAAAGACTCCAGCAGTCGTGAGCTACGGGACAATGCAAGAGAAGATGATCCACAGACTCTCCATCAGTCATGCACATACAACACCGGTTAACGATAACATGTCGTCTCTTCCTCAAATTGTCCAGAGTCAAAATCTTGCCCCAAACGGCAATCCACACAAAAAAAGCCACCCTAAGAGGAGCCAACGAGTCCCAAACCGATTTCCACGGGAAGGTGGGTCCACGAAAATCAGAAAGCTGGTGAAAATAGGACCGGACTTGGAACTTCCCCTTAGAAGAAAGCACCCAAGTCAATGAGTCCGGCCCATGTCCAATACCGCCATAATGCCTCTGGGGAAGTTTCCGTGCTTCCTAGGTCCCAGCACACGAAGCCACATCCGATGTGCCAATCCTCTCTTCTAAATCAACACCAAACATAGCACTATAATATAAAATATAATGCTTTTAAAATTGCATTACTTGACAATGTACCCATATCTAACTTCTGGACGCATATTCCTGTATCCTAAAATTAGGATTTGAGGAGGCATGCACTTAAGAAACACACCCGCATGTGATACACTTACCCAAGTCAGGATAGCACAGCCTGTAAAAGATGACCTAGAGCAACATCTAACAAATTGTACATAAGCAACAAATTGGCAGCAATGATCCCTGAAATATATAGATGGATCCAGAGGACATGAGCTGGCTATCAATAAATACAGTGCAATTGCATGGACAGTTTATGACAAAAATGCACGAGAAAATAACATGGATTATAGTATTAATCATAAGCTTTAGAGGCATAACGAGTCCCACACTTAAAGAATTTTAGGATTACATAGATGCTAACTCTGCTCGTATATTTGGATGAAATACTTCAAACAGAAAATACATCATATCGACTTACAGTAAATTTTTGAATGATCTTCCGGAGTTTCTGCCTGGTCCTTTTTGAGTTTTCAAATGCCATATCAGGGCGCTCCCAGCGACATAGCTTCAAAACCTCTCTCAATTCCATCTCAATATTTCGTCTGTTAACTTCTATATGCTCCAAAATTCTAGGGAGTGGGGGGAGAATAAATAAACAAAAATAATAAATAAAAAAAAGCGGCCAATAAGCCAGCAAACGAAGTACCAAAGAACTTCAGTTGGCCGGAAATAAATGTTCCAACTTGAAATCGGTGAAGAGTACTCACACTGGCAAGAATTGCACATAGAAGCCAAAAATATTGTATAGAATCTTGACATTTTCCATTTGGCAAGGGCTGCATAATTTTATAATAATTAATTATTTGACAGGGATAAAATATAAAGAAAAAAGAATAGCATAAAATTTTAATACCATATTATAGAAAAATGCACCATTGTATTACGATAAAAGAGTCCAACTCAGGATCATGCAGCTTAATACATATAGACTTCTTACAAATCATAATTTTTTTCAGTTTTTATCTTAAAAATCTTCTTAAATAATTGAAACAGCATGCTCAGATTAGCAAGCCTTGCCTTGAATAAGATCCCCGACATATTCCAGCACTGATTTGACCATGGAACGCAATGAGAAGTTGAAGACGTTTTTTAAATTCACCAATGCTGGATGTTCGAATAAACTCATCCAAGCTGCAGGTTCAATTAGCATCAGTTAGCACATGAGGCACAATGGCCGAAACATCGATAAATTATATTTTAATGCATAACAAAATAGGACATGCCTCTGGATTGTAGATTGATCGTACTCAACAATAGCAGCAGCATGTCTATGCTGAAGAACAGAATATAGAGGGAACCACAACTGCAATAAGATAAAATACCAAACTAGAGATTCAAATATGGCAGATATATAATAGTTGATAATGTAAACAAGAAGGCAGCAGCAGCTTGATTTCTAATTTGATTCTAAGCGCGCCTTTGGAGTGACCAAAAGAAACAAACAAAATATATATATACATCATATTGTCGCGGTCTTTCCACTTTAGCAATGTCACTTAGAAGCTACTGCTGATGGCAACTCATACTACAACAAATTAAGTTCTGAAAAAGGCATCTTAAAGATACCAGATATATTGTTAAACTCATAGTAAAACTCATTAATCCAGTAATAGGACTAATTTGTGCTGATGTAGGAAGGTTTTTTTTGAACCATTAAAAAAAACCTTTTAAAAAAAAACACTAACAGAAGTATACTTCAGTTCTGTAAGTAATTATTGGACATCAATTCTCATTTTTCATTGCAACCAGTTCCTTAAACTTATTTGATAGAAGTTCAGTTTACTGGTGGATTCATCCCATGTTTTAATTGGTTCAAGTCATATGACCTTATTCTTTTTTGTCTAACCGCTAAATTCTAAATCTGTTTCTAGCTTCCTTTCATTGCTGCTATAATTTGCTTAAAGTCAGGTCAAAGGAATTAGACAGCCTTAACAACCAACTACATTTTTTACCAACGGGCCAGTGGCCTAGCGGTATCAGCCTCTTACTTCCCAAAGGGAGGTCAGGGGTTCAAGTCTCAGAAGAGACAAGTGTGTGTGAGTACCAACTAGGAAAAAAACTACCAACTACATTTTTATACAACCACCATGCAACGTCACAAGGTATGGTTGCTAATTTAGTACATCATGATCTCTGAAGTTAAGGTGCAAGTGACTGCAAACCAAAATTAGAAATGCATTTCCATTCATACAGAAGCTAAAACTTGCCTTCCCTGCATTAACTTCATATTGACCTTGAACTTCATTAAGCAAAGCAGGCCAACAGTCAAACTCCATCTTTTGCCACGTGGACACCAGAACAAAAATAGGTTCCAGTTGATCTATACAAAATAATAATAATAAATAAATGAAATAAATAATAAAAAATGGGGCCACATAGTGGGGGAAGTAAATCAGTAATACACTATGAAATAGCAAAAATGGATTAAAATTGAATTGCCTACCAGAGAGAGGGAATTTGGAAACAGTTTCCTGTAATGTCCGCACCCTATTAGTAAGGAACTGCAATCCCGAGAGAGCCTTCACAGAAGAGAAGACATTTAAAGAGCATTGAACAAAGACACTCTTACAGATTGATGAATACATTAGTCTACTAACACAAGGCACTATTTCTTAAAGCCCCAGCAACTCAACTGAAGAAGGCTTTACACCTATTATTTGGGGTCCGCTACATGAATAATGTATTGGCATTTTGCTCTATCTAAATCCTTCAATCAAAACAAATACTATATATGTTCTAGTCTTTTCCATTTTATTATTGCAACCAATATTAATCTAATTAACCCTTTGTTAACATTCAATATAGACTACATCACTCTCGGTTAGTACTAAGTTATTGTTCTCCATTTCACCTACCTGAAGTCCCTACAACTAGCATTTTTAAACAACATTTTTTAAACAAGCAAATTGATCCTACTTCATGGTTTAATTGTGACATGGTTAGAGCAACCAAAGTGACCCAACAATTGTTAAGAGATAGTTTTGGGTATAGATGCTGTTTATTCTAAGGAAACTTTACACAGTCGCATTGACTAATTTCTTATCATCGTAATTCTAAATTTCATTCTTTATATCACGTTTTGAACTAGAACAGAATAATTGAAGCTAATGAATGCTAATCACTTTTCCAGTTAAATTTCCGGTCTAAAGCATAAGCATATTTATTTAATTTATTTTTCCATGAATTAAATTTATTTAATTACCTTAGCTAGAGGGGTGGTTAGAGGAATAGCCAAGATCAGTTCAGTCACATCCACAATTTTTTGTAGAGCAGGATGATCTTCCCACTCATTTAAAAGATGAAGAATTCTCTGCCGAAGAATAGTAATTAACTCCACCATTTTAGCCATCACAGGAGCATTTGAATCCTACACAGGAAGTGAAGAGAAAAATGTTAGAATGTGATGACTTTAGTGGTAAATTATTAAACTAAGGAAACCAGAGTTAAAGAAACCTTGTAAAAATTGTATGAGTGAGTGAAATTATGAGATGATATGACTTTCTGTTGCTCCAAACAAAGACGGAGCAAATGCTCTGGCACAAGTTTAGCATCCAAAGTAGTGCAGAACAAGCCCTCTAAATCTGCAAACATAGGACACAATACAAGATGCATTCTTCGTAAGAATAAGTTGACACATATTTATGTTAAATTATGCAGTGACTTAAAATTAACTACCTTTAATCATTCCTATTCCCAATGTATAAGAGTCAATGAAGGAAGCCAATCTGTCTGCATCAGAGACCTGAATAAATCCAGGCTGAATAGGGGTAAAAAAAAATTAGAAGCTGCTCATGTTGAACACTGGTTTTAGGCTGTTACTTATCAAAATAATTATATATCATCACACACACAGAGATATCCAACAAAAGTAACTAAATGTGGCAAGAATTTTGGAAAGCTAATGAGAAAGGAATCAACATAAGAATAAGATGATAAAAAAGAAAAGTTAAGTAAAGCTCCGAAAAAGCTCATAAAATTAACAAATATAAAGAGAGAATTGAGAATATGCCTTTTTTTTTTTTTTTTGTCATTGTCAATTCTATTGGCAGAAATAACACTCTCCTGAGACACAATTGAGTGACAATGCAAATAGAAAAGATCTCCATATAAGACACAACAGAAACATTAAAAGATCCTTCAGAATTTTAAGTCATTCTCCTCATAAACTAGGAGTGGAAACAAAAAAAGATTTAAAGACTCCTATAATTTATGTGATATGGTATCACACTATAAGTCAGAACATGTGTGTTTGTTGGTATACACCCATTTGCTTTTGTATAACAGCTCCTAAAACTCAGGAATCACTTTAACGACGACTATACCACGAGTGAGTAATATCTTAGGTGGAGATCCAAGCTATCACAAGGGTCCTCCTGAGAGGCGGCTAGTAGGAGAGACGGAGGCAGACTTTCGTGGGCTCCCTTAAGGCTAGAAAAAAGTGGCTTTATATCTCTGATCTCTCTCTTAGTGATTGTTGGAATCATTAACTCCTCTATCTGCTACTTTTAAATGTATCTATCCACTGGGTAAAAGCGTAGGGTAAAGGGATCAATCGCTGGTTATTGAACTGCAGATTGTTGGTAATAGAGGGCAGATGGGACGTTATAAGGAAGCTCAAGACTGGCCGCACGCTTATCTTGATATGTGATAGATAATGATTGAGAGAATCTTCATTAAATGTGAGGGTTCAGGCCGATGTCCTCTCCCTAAGGGGAGCTCACTTCTCTGCAATCCTTTGTCACAGGTGAAGGATACCAAGACAATACTGGTGTCACCACAAGACCTTGCCTCCCTGGCAGTAAAGCGTCATCCATGCTTCAAGGCCAACACGCAGCAGACAGTGCGACCTATAGAGACTTCTTCTGTAGAAAGAACCCTCAAGAAGCCCAATTCATCCCCAAGATTTATCTGTCAAGAGGAGCATCTCGATGGGTTTTCAGAGGAATTATCTGTAGGGAGAATTCCTCATAATTATTGGAAGGCCCCGAAGCTTATCCGTAGAGAGGAGGTCTTCATTTTATAAAGAAATGCCTCCTGAAATAATTGGGAATCCCTGTATGGAGTTTCATCGTTCCTCATAGTATGTATACCTGTTTCACCTTGAGAGAAGTGAGTCACCTATTAATAATGTTATTTTTTAAATAAAGGTAAGGCACCCCCACTTCCAGGCGCGTGGTTTCGTTTGTGCTTGTGCCATAGACCCCACTATGGCTAGCGGTGAGATGACAAGACCAGTGCCACGTGGCAGTGGCCAGGTACGAGTCTACAGGGCTTGACACCTCAAGCTTTCTAAATTAAAAAGAAATGTGCATGATAATATAACTTTTTCACTAAAACTTGTTATATCTAAACAACCTTAATAATGCAAAAGCCCAACAGTTAACAAATAATTACAATATAATTTCTCAAATTTTGCTAGTCTCTCATGCCAGTGTTCACTTCTTCTGAAAAGCTATTTCAACAGGACAACAAATTGGACAATCTGTATGAATTTTGAAATTTTCACATGCTTTTTGTATTATGACCTTAAAACAGACAAAATATACACTAAAAGGTTTCTTGATTTTAGTAAATTATTATAAAACAGTATGAACAGAAAATGAGAATCCTATTCTCTCACAGCGACTACTGCCCTTCCTCTCAAATTCCCATTCTCTTAAGGCCTGTTTGGCAACCGCTTTTGCTTCGTGTTTTTTGCTTTTGCCAGTGTACTACAGGGAAGAAAAAGCATGAAGCATGTTTGGTAACGTTTGACGTAATTTGAATAGTACTGAAGCGCCTCCGAAAAAGAGGCCAAAATCAGAAGCAAAATATTGATGTTTCCTGTTAATTCCACACTATAGCAAAAGCACACTTTACCACAAAAAAAAAAAAAAAAACCAAACAAACAAACAAACAAACCTCTAAATGACAATTTTAACTAGCCATTTAATTTTTCAATCCTGCAACACTTTTTTACCAAACATGTTTTCATGTTTTTTGCTTTCAAAATCTTGAAACAAATATACGTTACCAAACAGGCTTCCAAGTAGTATTGAACACACTTCAAAGCAAAAACATTGCTAATGCTTCGGGTCAAAACAAAAGCAAAAAACAACTGTAGTTACCAAATGGGCCCTTAGAATATACAACCAAACCCACAAATAAAGAAAGAAGAGAAACAATAATAATAATAGGGCAAGTTACTCTCACCTCCCCAGATGTTTGGCTGTTGAACCCCGACCACCCCTGCCTTACTTGACCGTTAGCCATGTTAACTATCACTTAGATAGATAAATTGAAATGCCAAAACCACCCTCCTTTGTAGTAAAACGACAAAATAAACATTGTTCACTTTTTAAACTTCCTTATGAACCTTAATCTTTTGGAATTTTTTAACCTCATTTGTCGATATTTAAACCCAATCTTCCCGTCTACCATTTGATTAGTACTTGTAGATTATATTATAATATATTACTATTCGCATTTAAATTTATTAATACATATTACTATTAGTACTTAATTAAAACTAAACACATCAGTTTCATTTAAATATATACACACACACATATATATATATAACGTCACATATATACAATGACTTCATATATTAGTACATAATTAAAGATATACACAAATAAGGGGTGAAACCCTCGTCGGAACTACTTTGGATTCCCACACACTCCATGTAACCGGGATACATAGGCAACCTAGACAATCCTAGGTTCTGTCACATCCTCTTGATATTCATAATAGTCTTTTCCTCTATTTTTAGTGTAATCGGTGTAAGATTGTTCCTTTCCCATACGTGCAAATTTTTGCACCTACAATAATTAAACAATTGTCACATAATAGCTAATTATACTTCATATAATAGAAATAATTTTACACTTATCACTTTATAACTATATATTTTATACTACAATAATTAATTATATAAATTATACACTTATTACATAAACACATGCAGAAGCCTCAACCTTCCCTCCCACTGCCGGCATGAGCATCTCCTCCAACCACCTCTCTCTCTCTCCAATGCTCTGATCTCATTGGAGAGTCTAATGTTTGATCAGCTGAGGGTGGTGGTTTTTTAAGCAATTCGAGAGAAGAGATTGGATCGATGAAGTTTGGGCAGAATTGAAGCCTGATAGGCACCATGATTATGGAAAGTGATTTGAATTTGTTTTAAGGTTTCGATTGGAGCTGAACAGGGCCAACGATTTTACCTTCAGGGTTTCGTTGGAGACGGAGATGGTTCACGATTTTTTACTCTCTCTCTCTCTCTCTCTCTCTCTCTCTCTCTCTCTCTACCATTGTGTTGACTGATGGTAGAAAACGTTCGGCCAAGGTTGGGTTTCATGGAATTTTTTATTTTGACTTCTATGTTACAAGTACGTATATATATATATAATATACAACACAGATTTGAGTTGTATCTGTGATTTATTTTGTGTTGTTGGTCTAATAGGGTGATTGTGGAGAGAGAGAGACAAGTGAGGATGGCGGGGGTTGGGAGGCGGTTGGTTGGGTGGTCTGATTGGGGTTAGTTGTCTCACGATGGTGGGTTTTGGAGAGGGGATGCGGTGGTGGTGGCAAGAGTACTGATGATAGATGTAGGGTGGGTGGGTGGGTGATGTGAGTGCAATTTAGTAAAATTATAATATTCTGCTTACAGCATCATGACATATGCCATTATGATATTAAAGATGAGGATAATATGCTAAATTTATTACTGCCGTTAATAAAATTAACGGCTCTTAACTCTATCAGGTATGTCAGAGGAATTCTAAAAAGTTCAATCTATGGGTAATTAAGGAGATCAGAGTAATTTGTCCATATTAATAATAATAACAATAATAAATTGAAAGAAAATAAAAGAAAACTTCTTGAAAGTGGATTACTAGGATTATGTAATTTAATTATGCCCTTGATTTTGGGTGTATGGTTTTTTTTGTTATAAACAGTGTTCTAACTAGGATCCCTTTTCTTTTCTTTTTTTGATAAGTAAAGATGAATTAGAAAGCGTTCAAAAGGGGAACGCATCCCAAGGAAACTACACACAAGCCACAAAGGACTAAGGGCCCAAGGAGCCCAAAAAGCCAACTGTTTCCATTACAGGTTCAGGAGGTGGACACTCTGGCTGCTGTTCTAAGGTGTGGGACGCAACGCTTTCCCATCTCATAGTTGGGTTTGCCGCTGGGGGACTCGGCTAGGAGGGTGGGAAGTTGGAACCCGGTGATTGAGCGGGTTGAGAAAAGATTAGCGGGTTGGAAAAAGCAATATATGTCAAAGGGCGGTAAAGTTACATTAGTGAAGAGCAGTTTGTCAAGCTTTCCAACGTACTTTCTTTCGCTTTTTCGTATTCCAGCCTCTATTGTTGGAAGACTTGAAAATGCTCCAACGGAACTTCCTTTGGGGGGGTCGCGGAGAAGAGTTCAAGTATCAGCTTGTCAATTAGGAGCAGGTTTGCAGGCCTATTCGATTGGGAGGGATTGGAATTAAGAGATTGGCCCCTTTCAATTGTGCTCTTCTTGGTAAGCGGCTTTGGAGATTTGGCAGTGAAAGACACAAATTATGGAGAAGGGTTATCTCATGTCACTTTGGGGAGGAGAGAGGAGGGTGGTCAGTTAGACCAATCAGGTTTGCTAGCGGAGTGGGGGTGTGGAGGGCCATCGGTAAGGGGTGGGATGTTTTTTCCAAACATATTAGATTCAGAGTTCGGGATGGAAGCAATGTCAAGTTTTGGGAGGATTCATGGTGTGACGATAGGCCATTGGCTCTTTTGTTTCCCAGGCTTTTCAGGATTGCTGTTGACAAACATGCTATGGTTGTTGACTGCTATCGCCTTGATAGCGGAAGGTTGTCTTGGGATGTGCGTTTCCGGCGAGCTTTTCAGGATTGGGAGTTGGATGATGTCACTGGGTTTTTGGCTCTCCTTTACAGACAGGAGGTGGAGGGTTCTGGGGCAGATTCCTTGATTTGGGTGCCTTTTTCTCAAGGGATGTTCCAGGTCCGGTCCTTTTTTGTGTGCATATCTGGTTTTCATGGTACCACATTCCCATGGAAGACGGTGTGGATGTCTAGGGCGCCTCTTAGGGTGGCCTTTTTTGTGTGGACTGCAGCTTGGAGTAAGATTTTGACTTTAGACAATTTGAGGAAGCGAAGGTATATCATTGTTAATAGGTGTTGTCTTTGCAAGATTAATGGGGAGTCAGTGGATCATCTTCTGTTGCATTGTCCTGTGGCACATGATTGTTGGAGTTTGATTTTTGGTTTGTTTGGTATTCATTGGGTCATGCCTCGAACCTCTTGGGAGTTTTTAGATATGTGGAGGGGCCCATGGGTGGGGGCTCAGGCAAGAGTTTTCTGGAGGGTGACCGCTTTTTGTATTTGGTGGAGCCTTTGGAAAGAGCGAAATGGAAGATCTTTTGATGGGAAGGAATCCTCCATTGGGGTGCTAAAATTTTCTATTATTTGTAACCTTTTTTGTTAGGGTCAGGGGAGAGACTACTCTTCTCTTGAGGATATTGTTGATTTCATTGGCTCTGAGTTCATAGGTTCCGTTTTGTCTTTGTATAGTTTGGGACGTGTTCCCCTTTTGAACGCTTTTAATACAATTTACTTATCAAAAAATATATATATCTATCCATTACCCAACAAAAAAGAGAGCTAAAAAAAAAAAAAAAAATTAATATCCCAATAGAAGATTCATCACCATCGAAGGATCTTCTATTGCATTCCCTCCAAATGCAACACCAAAGGCACAAGGACGACGCCCTCCGAAAATGCGGGCCTGGTAACCCACATAACTCCCTCTCCAAACATCCATCAAACCTCTCTAGTACCAGGCATGACCCACTGAACCCCAAACAAACCGAACAAAAGGCACCAGCAATAGGGCAATGCAAGAGAAGCTGGTCAAATGAATCTCCATTCCTCTTGCACACGCAACATCAATTAACCGTGATCTTTCTTCTCCTCCTCAAGTTGCCAAGTGTCAAAATCTAACCCCAAACCACTGTCCAAGCTAAAAAGGCCTCCTTGAGAGGGGCCTTATGGTGCACGATGCTTTACAAGTGCACTGGGGTATCTGATAGGCAACTAAACAAAGAAGACACATTGAACCTCCCATGAGAAGAGGCCAATCACACAAGAGAGTCCAAGCTTCCACCATCAAACACTTGACAATAAAGGATCACTAAAAGACTAAGCACATCCTCTATCTCCCACTCCTGAAAATGTCTCAGGAATTGCACATCCCAAGAAAACCTCCCGCTATCAAGCCGATAACAGTCAGCTACCAAAGTGTGCCTATCAGCAGCAATCCTGAAAAGTCTGGAAAAGGAAAGAGCCAAAGCACGATCACCGCACCAAGAATCCTTCCAAAACCGAACGCTCCTACCATTCCGCACTTTGAATCTGAAATGTCTCAAAAATTCAACCCAACAATTCTAGGTAAATTTCCAAACCCCAATGGCTCCCCTGATTCTAAACACACAAGAACTCCACCCTCCACCCCAAAGCGAGAGGATATGACTCGACTCCAAAGCCTCTAGCGCTCCAACACCAAATCTCCATAACCACTTCCCCAGAAGATCCTTATTGGAAGGCACCAACCTTCTGATCCCCAGCCCACCTGACTGAATCGGTCTACATACCTTATCCCAGAAAAAAGTACTTGAACTCCTCCCCTAAGCCAGCCCAAAGAAAGTTCCTCTGGAGTCTTTCAATCCTTCTAGCAACTGAATTAATGGAATATTTTTTACTCATCAAAAAAAAAAAAATCCTTCTAGCAACTGAACGAATCTGAAAGAGAGATACGTGGGAAGACTCGACAAAATACTTTTTCATCCACCCAGCCAATCTCCTCTCGAACCGCTCAACCTCCGGGGCCCAACTACTCACTCTCCTCAAAGGAGCCCAATGGCAGTCCCAAACACAAAAGGGGGAAAGTAGCTGACCCCGCGCCTAAGAACAGCAGCAAGATAAGAACTATCTTGCACCTAGCCCACAGGCATTAGAGTACCCTGACTGATATTCACTTTCAGCCCTGAAACTGCCTGAAAACAAATTAGCACGCATCTCAAGGATCTCAGCTGGGACACATCAGTGTCATGAAAAGCCAGAGTATCATCACCAAAAAGGAGAGATGAGATCTCTAACACACATGAAAGTATCAACACAGCATATCTTTTTTTATAAGATCTTTCAATATAAATAACAAGGGACCTAAAATTCCTCAAATTAACCATCTCGCTCTATAGAACTTCAATTTTATTTTTCACCAGATATTCACCGTGGATGTAGGCTTACGCTGAACCACGTAAATCTTTGTGTTCTGTCGTGGCGTGTTTACTTTTCTGCCGTAATTCTTGATTGTGTTCCTGGTTCCCAATATATGTCGATACACAAATATTTGGCTGACACTCGAAATAAACAATCAAAGGTATATTTTTTTAATTATAGTTTTCATTTAACTTTGTTATGCATGTATTCAGTCATTTTCCCCTTGTGTATCATTCAAGTTTGGCATCTTAGAGACTTGCTTCACTTTTCTAATTTTATTAATTGACAATATATATATATATATAAATAGATACATAATTAAATAAAAAATCTATGAGATCAACCATCATCAACATAAAATTATGACAATTCCTGGAAAATGCAAAAAGCTAACATGGATGTCTCTCGAACCCGTAATAATTGATTAAACAAAGAGATATTTGGATGCTCTGCACCTCCATAATTAAATCTCTCTTCCTTCATACTATAGAGAAATAACTAAGCATAAAGAAAAGATGTGAAAGCTTACAGCTTGGACAAGATCCATAGACCCAAATAATTGATTGTGAATGCGGACAACATTGTCCAGAATGGATTCCTTCATGAAGTTCCATTCTTCCTCCAGAATTTCACCTTTTTCATCAACTTCCTGCTCAATGAAGAAGAGATGCGGTTAGGGAATCATATACACAAACACAAAGATACAGACACAAACACATGCATAAAGAGAGAGAACAAAAATACGATTTGCAAATAGAACTGTTACCCTTTCAGTGAATTCTTCATCAGCTAGAAAATCACGCCATTCTGAAAAACTCTCATTTGCAACACTAAGAGTGGATATATCAATTTCGAATATGTCCTCCATCTTAAATGCACGGGTCCTAAACTTGTATTGCTGAGCTTCACGGTCTTCTTTGTTTTTGACTTCAACTTTCATGCTCATCCAAAGCCTTGCAAACTCCTCAAATATCTTATCCAAAAGCTGATAAAGAGAGATATTGCGATATTAGTTCAAAAACTTAGTGTTCAGTAAATTCCTCGGTAAACTTTCTTCTAAAAATTAATCATAAAGGTGGATTCTCACCGTGAAGGATGTGTAATCCATTAATTGGGACTCAGAAACAGAATGAACAACACGAGCAAGAATATTTTGATTAATCGCAGCCTTTTCTTGCAAGACAGATAACTGTTCCAAATGGAAAATATTTAATTTTATGTCAATGAGATTAACTAAAGCTCTACATCAATGTCAAGCATTGAATGAGCAGGAAATTTAACATCAAAAAATCACACACCGTTTTAGAAGTGACACCTCCTCTAAAAGCAACCAAATTTCCTAGCAAATTGATATCCATATCCCCAGTATTAGTAGGGAATTCAACATCATAGTAAGGGAACTTGGCCAGCCCACTATTAACGTTAACTGAAACAGCTTTGGATGCACAGCCCCTTGGAAATCTCATAAATGAATATAGTGTATCCTGTCATGCACCAACCAAGCTAGCATCAAGAGGTACATAACATCTACAATAATAATGATTGTGATAATGACATGATGATAACAACAAAAACATAACACAAGAAACATGTAGTACCAGAACTTTATCCATATCATCTTGCCCAACTTCATGCAGAAACTTTTTCTGCAAAGAACTTGAAAAAACCAGAGCTAAGCCTAATTTCATATCATAGATTGCAAACTGAACTGGTTGAACAATATCAACATAGGCAGCATATTCGCACGATAACCTATCAATAAAACAGGTTGCTGTCTCCTGAAAGATTGGATGGAAAATGGATAACATATGAATAATATCTTGAAAAATAAACTTTAAAGGAAATCCGTAATGTAGACACTATCTAATATAAAATAAATTAGCCAACACCAGTATCTAGTCCGAAAAAAATACCTGCCAGTTTTGCACTTGGTCAGTAATCTGCTGTAGATCCATGCTTTCAACATTCTTGATCAGGCCAATTGAATTTCCAATCAGTTTAAGAAACTCATCACATTCATATTTTAACTTCTTAAACTTTGCAGGATCAGAGCGAAAGACAATCTGAGTACAAGAACAATCTTTATAAGAAGGTCACAACAACAAATATCAAGCAGAAAATATGATGTAAGAAGACGAGGAAAAGAATATTGCAATACTTTAATTTACATTTCTTGAAATACAAATTATGCAGACTGGGCCACTATACAAGAATGAAAATGGATAAAATTCAAACAAAATGCTTGTCGTTCCATGATGATGAATGAAAATAACTGGTTAGAAAAACAATATCTATATCAAAACAGAAAAGATGACATAGTAGTACATTTTAGAGAAAAGCATAACAATGCTGGCAGAGATAGCCAGTTTCCTCATAAATATAAAATTAAAATTAATTATTATTCAGACAAATAGCAGAACCCCATTCATTTGGGATAAAGCCAAGGTCATTCAAATAAATAGGTATCATGTGCAATAAATAAATAAATGTTAAATTACTGAAGAAAGAACCCCAAGGTGTAAAAAAACACTACAGTTATCAAATAAAACATTGCAAGTGAAAAAGATAAAATCGGAATAGTTTCGAATATATTACAAATCAAACAATCAGAATATGCACATATGCTTCTTTTCTTACAAAAGAAGGTGAAATGATGCCATTTTCCTATATGATTCAAAAAAACTCAAAAGTTCTATAGCTCATAGGTGACGAACACAAATAGATACAAAAGGAGAAATGATTAAGTTTCCTATATATGGTTTAAAAAAATATGCATTTCCACAGTCTCCCTGCTGAATTAGTTCCAAAATGATAAACATATGTTTATGTTTATTCTTTTCACATTTCTACATTTTTTACAGCACAGTTTTCCAGAGATTCAACAAGTACAAGGACGGCTAGAGAGGGAAGGCCGTGAAGTCTCAATCTCAGTGTTAAGTAATGCAAGATATCTCTCATAAATTCATTAACTTGATTGCACCAATCTTTTGAAATTAAGGAACTGACCGGTTTTGATCAAAGCCTAACAAGTTTGAATTAGGCGACAAGTGAAACTATTGATATATATATATATATATATATATAAAAATCAACAATTAAATTAAAGCTAGAAACTTGCTGGTGATTGTCCAGAGTAAAGCTCAAATCAGTCCAATCATAGTAGTTAAGCTTCATGGCTTCATTACCACATATCTAGAGGAAATTACATAACAAGTAGTTTAAAAAAGGGGTCGGACCTTTCTTTGTAGCCTCTTGCACTCAGATTTGAGATTTTCCAACAACATTGTTCTCTGTTTGCCATTTTCGCTCAAATAAAACGAACCCGCTAAATAGGAACACTCTTGCCGTACCTATAAGAAGTGACACAGTGAGAAGATTTGAGACATGAATTATCAGTCTATCACAGAAGCATATACATATAAAAACGAGTTGACAAAGAAGAGATACGCTTAAGGTCCATTAGAGGTCACGTGCATGCAATGTTTCCGTGTATCACAAGTGTATGCACCATGCATAAAGTTGGGGGCCCACATCCTAGAAGCCAAGACCGAATACTAACCACCCTCAACAGTACAAAATAAACCCTAATAACAACTGCTAGCACTCCAAAGCAAGGGAAAAATTTTATTTTTCCCATCCAAACAGTCAAATTTTAATGACCATCATGGCATACCAGTTGGAGTAGAGGGAGTGGGGAGGATACTTGTGCAAATCGGAAGTGTTAGAAAGATACTATATGCATGAAGCAGTAAGTTTTTAACCATAAAAGAATGTTACGTGCTTAAACAATACTTATTTTACAAACGAGATAACAGTGAATGACGAAGCCCAAATAACAATTGCTAGCACTCCAAAGCAAGTAAAAATAATCCTTTTCCCTTCCAAACAACTATTTTTCCCTTCTTAACAGTCGAATTTGAATGACTATCATAGCATACCATTTGGAGTAAAGAGTGTGTGGGGAGGACACTTGTGCAAATGGGAAGTGTTAGAAAGATACAACATGCATGAAGCCAGTGTTATTAAAGGCTCAAGGCGCACCAAGGCGCTAGAGGTCCTTTGGAGCCTAGGCACGAGACGCACGGCTAGGCGCGCGCTTGAGTGACGTGAGGTGCACATTGAAATTTTAAACTACCATAAAAGCATTCATATCTCACAAGTCATATCAATATTTTAAAAATTAATATCAAATATTAAAAAGTAAATCCATCAACTATATAAGCATTCAAGAACATAAAACAAAACACAAATTTGTTTTCTTGGAAGACAAAACAAAATTTGTTTTTTGAAAAAAAAAAAAAAAAAACACTGTTAACAAGAAAAGGGGAAAAAAAAAGAGAGCCCAAAAAAAAAAAAATAAAAAAATAAAAAAATAGGACACAGAGACAAAAGAAGTAGATGAGAAGAGAGAGAAAGTGTGAAGAAAAAGGAGAAAAACAGAGCCCAAAAAAAAAAAAAAAGACTGAGAGGAGAACTAGATAGAGAGAGAGAAGTAAACAAAGATGAGAAGAGAAGAGAGAGAAGAAGAACAAAGAACTGACATGGCTCCATTGTTCATCTCTGCAACTAGGGCTTCGTCGTTGGTCTCATAGTCTCACTCTTTCTATGTTCGGTTGACACTTTGATTCTTGGGCTTTCTTATTTGTTTATTCGTTTGAACAAAAGTTCCTTTTCTCATACGCTTAGGCTTTCTTATTTGTTTATTAAGTTGCCAAAAGTACCTTTTTTGGCTTAAGAAAGAGAATAATCATTTTTCAACAAAAAAAAAACTGTGAGGCGCGCCCAACAAATAGGATGAGGCGCAACCGAGGCGCGCGCCTAGTAAACATAAGTGTGCCTGGAATGACAACAGGCACTAGACCTGCGCCTCGAGCCTAGGCGCGCCTTTAACAACACTGCATGAAGCAATAGATTTTTAACCATAATAGGCCGTTACATGCTTAAACAATGCTTAATAATTTACAAAAGAGAGATATTACTGAATCAGAAAGCCCTATAAGACAAAGTTGGGTCAGCAAAATTATTCAAATACAAAAGTTAAACAAAGTTTACACATAAATCTATTCATTCATTCCTTAATACATAAAGAACTCCCTTTGCAGTCAGACTCACATTGCCATGTAGCGCCTGGTCTACATTAGCAAATCCTAATACATCTAGATGCTAGACATAACATCAAAAAAGATGCATTCATTTGATATTCAACTCTTGTTTTAGTATCGTGTTCCCATTACAATGTTAATTCTGTAACAAATTGATAAGTATAAAGTCAACGAAGGTGATTAGATGTGCATGCATAAGCATACCATTTTTAATCGAACAAAAAATTAGAATAAAAACAACTGATGACTGCGCAAACATACATAACATAATATCAAACCAACTATATAAGTTTGATTGCATGAACCTATATAATAGAAAACTGTTAGGGGAAAGCTACCTTATTCTCTAGTTCAAGCAATTCAATCCTTCCCGCTAACTGTGTGTGCTTGCAAGAGTACTTCAGTGAAGGATCCAGATCGTCACAGCTTATCAGGAGATGATAACTCAACCCCCCAATTCGTACCCATGCACAACCTAGAGCATATAGGATGTCTACAAAAGAGATGGACGACAAAAAATAGAGTCAATATCAAACATTCAACCCACGGAAATATGGATTTTGAAGCCTAAGATAGTCGATAAACTAGCATTCACCAGTAGATGGACATTGAAGATACAGTTCTCCAAGCACTGGCTCAATAAACAACCCCATCAATGAGGTCAATCCGTGATGGCTTGACGATGCAAGATGGGAAACCAATTCCTTGATACTGTCCTCCTGTGACCAAAGGAACAACCAACCAAACTGGAAAAAAATTAGTTTCCGAAAGCAAAATGAGGTTACTATATGATGTTTCAAGATTAAGAACACAAATCAAATACATAGGGCTGTTACTTTACAAAGGAGTCTATGGTATATATGTAACATTTTGATTTCTGTTTTAGCAACAGAAAACCATAGGACGCTACAAGATCTTAATGTAGAACATATATGGTAGTAAGAAATTTCACTTGAATTGAAAATATCACTCGAAAATGCATACCGTCGTCGTATTCTTCTGAAAGGAACAAAGAACAGACTTGATTACAGCATACACATCAGCTTCAAATGTTTTTCTGTGGGTATATATAATCTGGAAGTAAAAGAGTCAAAGAAATAAAATTTAACTGAGCATACTCAATAAATGAAGATATTTTATACTTCGAAAGAAAGGCTACCTGTTGGAATATAGTTCTAGCCGTGGATAAAAGAAAACTATGTAAATTAGTCATTGGTGAACATTGCCAAAGACTACGAGAAGCGACTCTGAGTTTCAAGCTGTAAATGTGATAATCCTTAATAGCAAATGCACCTTTCCTGAATTTGAAGCAGGGGGGAAAAAAATGAGGAATGCACAAATATCCCCCAGAAAACATGATATCAGCATATACAAGTATATAGTAAGAGATCAATAATCTAAAACTCTAAAATGTTATAATGAACAACAGACAATAGTATGCAGCATTCCCCACAGTACATTATGACTGGGTGTAGCCTCTATACATTTAGCATTTCATGGTGCCATGAAAATACAGAAGAAATGGCCACCTATAAAACCATACCATCGTGTGGAAGCATTTTCATAGAATACACACATCGATATAATTAAAGGCACAGACAAGGGACGGAAGTACACAAACAAGAATGGCTAAAAGTTTCTCAACATATCCGTTGGTCAAAATTTACCAGTCATGACAAAATAATGAAGGCCCCCAATTATTTAGAATAAATAAAAAAACAGGTAACAATGTCAAGAAATATTCAATCTTGAAAATCTTAAAAATTTGATCTTACAGAATTTGGTTCACAGTTGCCGCCTTTACAGGCTGAAAAAGCATATCAGGTTCACAACCAGCAATCCTCGAAAGGTTCTGCCAGACAAATATAACGAAGAACAAATAAAGCCTCCTGTCAACAAGAAGTCCAAGATTTCAATGTACAAAACTGTGACATCCTGATATATATACCTCAACTAAAGCAGGACAAGGGGTCCACAAAGATGAATGCCAACTGAACCACATCTCAAGAACAAAGCTTGCAACTTTCATGTTCACTGTAACATAAGATGCGGACTAATTAGCTATTCATATTAATACTAATGCCTAAATTTATAAGGATCATACTAACCAGAATCAACTGCTGGCCAAGCATCCAATGACCACAGAATCTTTTGATGCGGCAAAAAATCAGAGGGAGGTCTTGATGAGAAGTTCAGGGAGAAATTCCTTGTGTATACCAGAGAGTCCGACAAACTAGACAAAGCCTGTTGATATAGGATTTAGGATGAGCAAGATCCGTGTTAACCAAAATGAATGAACTAAAGCATATCATGAAATAAAATGAACAACATAGATGCACCACATAATCATAAGCATAGACAGTAAAGGATTATAGATTGTAACCTTATGATTTGATCATCAGTTTATGAATGTCCCGATCTAGAACTAAACGGAAGACAATGATCTACTAAACTTAATTTGAGTTACAAATAAAGTGAAGTAGGATCATTCATGCTTACAGATAGACCTAAACCATGATGATCAAATTCGCCATGACAAAAGGTTTAAAACTAAGTTAACCAAACTCCAACCCAAGAATCCCGTAGTTAACAATGACCCAGACTCACACCAAACGATCTCCTCAAACTCCCACCAAACTCCAACCCAAGAATCCCCTAGTTAACTCTGACCCAGACCTGCACCAAACAATCTCCTCAAACTCCGGTGCCACCAGTCAAAGAATCAGTGTCTCGCACGATCCTCCTTTAGTAACACAATCTCCATGACTAGTATCGCCTGTTCTTTATAGTTTTGTATGGATGCTTCCAGTGTTGAGTCCAGTGTTGCTTCCAGATGTATTATGATGCATGCAAAAGAAACAAAGTCTAGCATTCAAATTGCTTATACTTGTAGGTTCTCTTAAACCATAAGTTGTTTATATAGAGCATAGAAGCATCAAAGGATCAGGGTTCAGAGATTTGAATCCCATTCGAAAACTTAATTCCAGAGGTTTGGTTCTGTTGAACTTAAGTGATAGAAATTACTCCAATGACCTTTGCTCGGTACATTGACCGACCAAAATAGTTATGTCATGAACACTCAAGGATTTCGAAAATAGTAACGTATAAAAAAAACTTACAGAAGGTATTTTCAAGAATAAAAATATGGAAGTTAAAACCCTAATACGTTTAATGAGAAGTTTGAACATGAACATGAACACTGATTTGGCGAGTGCATAATTTAGAGTTGCGATAACCTTTTTGCCCTTACTTGGAACTCTGAATCCTCTTGTTAGTCGTGACGAAGGTAACTCAGATGATTGACTGTAAGTACCTAGATTTTGAAACCAACTAAGTCCTATTGACCAAGCACCCAGAATTAAAAAAATATGGAAACTGCAATTTAAAAACCTAACAAGCTTGTGCCAAAGCATAGGGAAAAGAAAGGTCAACGAAAGCCAAGAAACTTTGAAGTGATCAATAAAAATCAAATTCTCAAACATCAACTAATTTGATGGATATCCTCCAATACAGCTCATACCTCATAACCACAGCAACCGATAGATTTTTACCAGTAAAATTCAGTATCCACATATGAAACATGTATGAAAAAAGTTGAGGATTCTGCACAATACATATTCCGTTACTGACTTTTAAGGTGAATCATCAGAATCACTCACTTTTGGAAATAATTAAGTGAAAATTCCCACAAAATATATCATAGGTGCATCATATAATGACATTAATATGCAGAATCTAGAGGGCCGCAAATAAAATGGGTGTCAAAATTGTTAACAACTCTTGAGTAATGTGAAGAACTTTGAATAAGTGAATAATGTGTCAAATAAATAAATAAATAAGGAAGAAGAAGAAGAAAGAAAGAAAAACATTTTAAAACCTAACAATCGCAGCATAGAGACAAGAGAGTTCCTTGCAAAGTCATTCCTTTTTCCGATTTCTTAGAATCAGATTGATATTTCTTTTGTTTATACAAAAAAGATATCAGTGGCTAGGCTCAAGTCCGTAAACTGGGTCAAATGAGAATTGCATGTACATCTGGTTGCACAAATTGCATAGCATCAGGTCTTCTCTGATCATGTTCAGACATGACAGGGAAGCCAGGAAGTCCAGGGGCATAGCAAACCTATTCATTCCCCATCCAGCACTCTCCAAAAACTACTTGGGTGGAATTTCCGTGAGAATGGTCCCCATGTTATAAATTATGCGTCAAAGAAGCATCCAAGTTTCTTTAATTCTTTAAACCCGGTAAAAATAAAGCTACACCATAATTAAATGTGAGATTCAAGTATCCTAAATTTAATCTCTTCAGTGATTGCCAAGATAATATTTGCGCTGAAAGACAAATCATTAGCATGTGAAGAGACAATTTTTCGCTCAAACTGCCTATTCTCTTATCACTTTTTTGCAAGCTACGTTAGATATTCTCTCTTACAGTATGATGTAAAACTTTCAATGTACTGAAACAAAATTAAGAAACAATGTTGACAAACTGACATTTTGTGAGGCAGTATACAAGATGAAAATTACTGTTCAAACATCCATGACCAGATCACATCTATTTAAGATTCATCCAATTTCAACTGCCTTAATCATTATGTGAATAAATAATCAGAAAATCTGAAGAACTGTACATTTTTTTCTCTCTTCTTGAATGAACCAACTCCCATTGCCAGAACAACTAAATTTAATGTGTAACTATCAAGAGGGGATATGATATGTGGACTCAACTAATCTGTGACATACCTATGTCGAACGCATGATCATAGATATGGGATGGGAAATATTGGAGGCCAAGGTTAGAAAAATCTGACGTGTATACACAACAGATATTGGATATGCATCCAGTAGTATGTCAAACTGGGCAAGCATCCATCAAGCATATCAATAATTTGTTATCATATAATTATGTAAAAGAATTCTGTTATTCCGTTCCTTTTTGTTATACTATTGCTTTTAAATAACATAAAAACACTATTTTATCCAAATATATATATATATATATATAGAAAAATCTTTATAAATATCTAACCGAGGCAACGTTTACTTTATTTGGCATTCAAACACGTACCAAACACAACGACTGGGTATAGAATATGTCTCTGAAGTGCTTAGTTAGTTATTCACCCATCAATCACATCCGATAGTGCTTTCTGCATAATTATCTTAATATGTTCCTATTACAAACATTATTGCTTCTACAGCATTATTGCTTCTATGTTAAACACCATTATAATCCAAAAAATATATAACTATAATATTAAAAGAATATGAATATTTAACCGAGCTCCATGTCATTTATGTCCAAGTGTGGATAAATTCAACGTCTAAAACCAGAACCAACACATGTAACAGAGTCCTTGTAGCGCAGGTTAGGTGATCTTCCACAAAGAATATATTAATTAAATCCCATTCAAGAAATAAACAAGGCTGAAACTATTAACATCGGCACTAAATTGGACAGTGTTGGAATAAAATATAGAATAATATTATCTTACATGATGTAATTCTTCTGCATCAAGAAAGACAATCTTTGACAGCTCTTGAAGTAACTCCATATCCAAAAAAGAGCTGTTGCTGTCAGTTATGGGAAGAGTATCCTGCCAGCTATCAAAGCCCAACCATCTATCCCGTATATCAGAAGAGAAGACACAACAAGTAGTGAAGTCTGCCATAGAATATACACATCTAGTAGCCCCAATAGTTGCTTGCAATTTATTTTTCTCATGCTCAAACCTTTTCAAAAGCATCTGCCATTAATAACGCATGAGCAAATTGAGGCATTAGATGAAATCCATTTGAATGAAAATTATAATTCCAGACATCATGAAGGCAAACCTGATGCATCTCCTCCAACTCCTGAACAGCATGAGAATCCCCTCCCTTCACTTTTTCCACAATATATGTTGACATGCAAACACCTTGTCCACAGAAAAAGGTTGCATCAAAACAAATAAACTATGCATAAGGAAATCCATCAAGAATTAATATTCTGTTCGGTGTGGGAAACAAGAAACTTCCAAAATAATTGTGTTTCCATCCTTCTGTTTGCCCAATTACAGAAGGGGGAAAAACGGACGAAGAGGGAATACGATAAAATTAAAGAATATGATTCTCCTGCACCAACAAATTTAAGTGCTGAAGTTTTTTAAGTGGTAATTATATATATATATATATATAGAGAGAGAGAGAGAGAGAGATTTTCACATAAATCTTTCAGTGATAAGTGAAGTCAATGTCATTGAAATATAAGACTGAAAATTAAGAGCTGAATTTTAAGTGGTAATTAAAAAAAAAATTGAGATTTTGGTATATATTTGAATTTTAAGTGTTAAGCATTCAGTGAAAAGTGAAGTCAATGTCACTTAAAATGCTACCCAATTTTAAGTGGCGCTTACCTTTTCAAGTGATACACAAATTGCCTTATGAAAACTGTTTATGTGATATACAACTTGCCTTATAAAACACACTTAATTGGATAAGCACTTAACAAAATCAATTGCCAAATATGGTTCTCAAACAGCATCGTAGGGTACAGCTACAAGATATCAATCCAAGGTACAGAAGATATCCCTGAAATGGCCCAAGTTTTCTGCGTTGCATTTCCTCTCCATTTTATATTCATTTACGAGCATAGGGAAGGACATGATTTTTCTTTCCTACCTCTATCCTCACATATTTTCTTTTTTGTGTCTACTAAAGAAGAATTGTTTAGAGGTCGTATAAAAGTGAGAGAAGTGATTCAGATGCCATAAGCCAACCACAATAAGACCATGGTCAAATTTCAAACTGGAACTCTAGAAGTGAAAGAGAAGAAGTATTGTTACGACAAACAACGCAAACAAAGAACAAATCAAGAATCGTGACAGCAAAGTAAACACGACACACACAGAGAACACAGATTTACGTGGTTCAGCATAAGCCGATGTCCACAGTGAAGATCCGGTGAAGGATTTCACAAGGCACAAAAACAGGAAATTACAAGTTTCAACCCCCAAACCTCCTCCCTCCCTCCCTCCCTCCCTCCTGCGATTTCGGTATTCTCTCTTAACACAACCAAACCTTAACCGCCTTATATATTGGGCTACAAGAGAATGCTAGAACCGGGTCCACGACCCACAAGAGAGAAAGAAATGGGTCAGAAATCGCGACGCAAACTGGGCCAAAAAAAAAAAATTTGGGCCACAATAATCTCACAAGTATGATAATCAGTAAGAGTATCACATTGTTGAGTCGGGCCAGTATAGTGGTGATACTCAAGACTTGTGCAAGACTCGGACTCAATAGGGAATAGTAGGAATCCGCAACTTTGCAATTGTCCTGACCCCTTCTCTTCACTAAATTCTATGGGACTTCCTTGTTTTCTACATCTCATTTACAAGGATTGATATATTTATTTATATTCAAAAAGCTCTATCATTCCATGCATACTCAACATCTTATACACCAAATGCATATTAAATTATAGTGTAGAAAGAAATGAAAAGCAACAGAGATAAAATGAATAACAAGAAGCTAGCAGCAGCAAATAAATAGTAGTTGATGAAGAACGATAAAGGCAATCAATAAAAATATAATGGCAAAAAATGATAATTAAAAAATTTACAGTGCCTAATGAAATTTTTATTGTATAACTAGTAAAAAGTCACAGTGGGAATATCAATGGAGAGTCAAATGAGGATCAACAGTCTTAAAAGAGAGTGAATATTATACCTTGCATTGCAAGAAAGCGAAGTTCAGGATCTGAAGAAACAACAGCCTCAATGGGGCAATCTTTTGAGGCTAAGGTTAAAAAAAAAAAAAAAAATAGGAGGTAAAAAAGGTTAGTGCAACATCACGTGCATGGAAAGTCAGCAACCATAACATAAGAAAACATCAAATACATACCCTGTTTCCACGGTTTCCTCTTTCTTGGCCATACCAACTCACAAAAGTTTAAAAGCTGATGCTGCTTTTGATATAGATCAGCCGAAGAAGGCACAATGGGATGACCGCCATGTACCCAAAGCAATGACTTTTGCAAATGAAAACGCCAAGATGAAACTCCATCCAGATGTTTACTTTCCATCTATACCAGCCAAAGGTCATCTTCTAAACCATAAAAGTAAATTACAAGAGAATGAGAGTACAAAAAATTTGTGTCAAAGAAACCTACCTGTAAACTTTCAACTTCTCTTGGACAGATTTCCCTAAATTTCACAGCATTCTTGATCAAAGAACGCCATGAAATTAGGGAATGCTCAAATTGGGATGACAAAATGCTGTTCCAAAATGATATGTGATCTCCAAGCAGCTCATTATATAATCGAAAAAGCACATCAAATGTAGGAGATTCAACAAGCATATCAAGCACTTTCTCTTCTAGTGTTTGTAGAGATCTTAACACAGGAATGAAACACTGAGTTTTCTCACTGAAGTCATACTCACTCTCAGCATTCCACTGTTGCAAACTAAGCCTTAAAAGGCCTACACAATTAATAGCATTACAGAGAATTTTGCTCGAGGACTTTGACATGTCGTCAGATGCAAATAAATCAACTATTTCCAAGGATAGCATTGGTATTGGCTTTGAGTCTAAATCAAACTGGAGACGAGACATAAGCTCCCGGCGGCAACAAACAATATAATTCCAAATAGGATGCTTAAATTCCTGCTTGAGTAGCATCAGGAAAGAACTAAAGAAATTACAAAATGGCATTACGCGAGAACCAAACCAACTAAACCAACAAAAATACAGTTCGATATCACTTTCATTGGCTTGTTCGATTGTCCAATTTGCAGCAAAGAAGAGCATTTTTCTAGCAAGTGCCAAGTCGAGCTCCGCTCGCCCAACATAATTTCTTTTTTCAATTCTTTTTTCGTTTGAAGCCTTGGGAGACATAATCAACTGTAATGTCTCCATATCCAACAAGTAACCACTAGCAGTTAGAGCTTGTTGCATTGGGCACCGATCCAAGGAAATATGAAATGTATACGACGCACTTTGGGCACCGAGAAACTCTAGATACATGCAATTTTGTTTGACAGAAGTTTCTTTAGAGTACCATACATAATCCCTTAATTTCAAGGGTGTTGGCCATCCTCCAGGTGAACACAAAGAACTTGCTAGGGATAAATCAAATTTGAATAGCTCATCCATTGATAAATAAGAAAGTATCACATGAGAAACAATATCTTTCCCTTCAGCTTCACCTAAAGAGGACAGGTATGTATGCTCCCAACTTATTTGGAGGCTCCAAACAAGCTGATTGCCATTTGTGAGAAGCCGCTGGAATAGCTGCACCCAACGTGCAAGCTCAAGGCATGTAATGTTTATATGAAAGCGTAGAGCTTCATTCTTAGCATAGATATGAGAATTGGCCATTGAATCAACCAACATGCCAACTGGAATACCAGAGAGAGTAAGAAATCTCTTCACATCTTTGACTCGAGTCTCATCACGATTGTCACCACTTCCAGCCTCAAGCAGCCAATCTGGCTCCATCATATATATTTCAACTCCTCTATTTCGCATTGCCCGGGACACTTCACCATAACTTGGGTTAACCGTGAGGAACATCCGAAATTGGGGGTGAGGATGGATAACCAATGCCTTTCCATCAACAGTCCCACGCTCATGAACTGTGATTGATCCATGCGGCTCAACCAAAGAGTTGATCCTATCAAAAACCTATATTTAAGAAAAGATGGGCAAAAGTAAAATTTGTGCACATTACAAATTAGTACCAAATAAAGAAATAATTAAAACTACAAGAACCATCAACCAAAAACATAACAAACCGTGGGATTGCAAGTATTTGCATTCTCTAGAACAATCCATTCTCCATTTTCAATAGCCTTTATCAGTAATCCAGTAACCCATTCAAACTTCGCTGAATATGGCTTTGTTTGGTGATCCTCTTGCAACTTTAAAAGCGTCTTCCGAGTCCTATCAAGATCCTCACATGACCAAGACACAGGCAGTGGATTTTTCATCAGATCCAACCTGAGATGTTCAATGATTTCGACTAACAAAGAAATGGAATCGAAGGATCTCGTATTCCAATTCTCGGTATATGCTGAAGCAGAAGCCAATGTAGTAGGGCCACAATCCATTTTTGATAAGAAAGAAAGCCATCGAGTTATGAGATCTTTTCTTCTTCCTATAAATGCCTCTGACGAAAATTCCAGTTTCAAGCTGCAGTATTCATTTATATAACACTCAACCTGAGCAATGGTAAGGCGATAATTGCGGAAGGCATTGTATTGCTCAAAGCATCCAATTAGCTCGGATATATCAATAGCAGATGAAAGATTTAATTCATTTAAAACATTGCCAGTAAGCTGAGCAAGTAGCCTTATCAAAGAAGTCTTCCCAGACGAAGGTGGACCAATCAATATGCACAACCACTGATGCTCTACACACTGTGCAGCAGCTTCCAAGCTATGACGTATTCCCGGTAAAATTTTTAGCCCGCTATTAGATACTTTAGGTGACTGAAAATGATTCCTTTTTATGCAAGTATTCCCAACAATCAAGTATTGAGTAGTGAGCTGCACTCGTGGGTAAGGAATTAAATATGGATTCAGCCCAAAAACCTGTTCATAAAGCTGTATGACTTCTCTGCGATCAGCAGCAGTGCGCATTCTTTGAACATAGATGGTGTTGAGGAAGCAATCAAATTTTGACCCTTCAGGTGCACCTAATACATAGCTTAACAGATTTTAGAAAAGCCAACATCATTCCAACAATATAATCACAAATTGCAAGAGGACATAAAATTATATAATGAACCTTGTATGATCTGACAAGATCGGATGACATCCCGGAGATTGAACTCCCAAGGAGAACCATCTTGAGCGAACTTGTGATGTAACATAGTCTCTTCATGTAACCGCTTATTAAACAAAATCAGCTTTGAAAGTATATCCTTCGGAATTGATGGATACAGCGAATTACAGATGAAAACATAGTCATCAACAAGTAACTCATCCACATAAACCTGAAACCAATTGCAAGTTAACATATTACTACTGATCTCCAGCTTTTATATCAAGTTTACCGTCCTCAAGCTCAAACATATTGTACGTCAGGGGCAGCATATAGTAATACCTTGATAAAACGGTTCAGAAAGGACTTAGGAAGGCCTTTCCGGCCTCCGCCCTGAAAGGAAGGGTTCTGACATGCAAAAACTCTGAAAGATGGTGGACACTTGAAAGTGAGACCCAGCTCCGGGATAAAAACCTCAGCTCGATGGTCCAAAATTGCATTCAAACCCTAACATAGATAGAAAGTATGGGTACTCAACTCTTTGCGTATATTATTTGGAACATTTTAATGACGATTTATCAATATAAATATGTGGAAAAATAGTGAAAGGTGTGAGAACATACCTCTAAAACAGATTGTGGAGCAAGATTAATTTCGTCCAGAAGAACCCAAGATCCCTTTTTAATAGCCTAAAAAGTTACAATGCATAAGAAAGTCAAACGGACATCCAACATGATTCAAAAACGAAACATCACCAATATAAAAGTTTTTAACCTGCAGAAGGATTCCATCAGACCAAGCAAAATGCATTCCTTCATCACTCTCAACAGGGAGATCGGACCCCAATAAATCCATAATATCAGTCTGCAGCATATTATCCAATAAGTAATCACAAGGAAACAAATAATTGCAAGGATGCTTTAAGAATGAAGAAAGTGCAGTTGCTGAAAGGGGAACAAATGAAAACAACAAAATAAGAAGATTGAGAATCACGAACCTGCTCGGATAAGTTTATCCTTACAATCTTGTGCCCAGAATACTTTGCAAGGGCAACAATTAGACTTGTTTTTCCAACACCTGGACTACCTTCCAACAAAACTAGAGAGCAAAGGCACAATTTACGATGTCAGAGCATCTTCCAGATGAGGGGTTTTCTTATTTCTTTTTATTAATTAGTGAATTCAGAAAGAAAACACACAAAAGCACACAGACACAATCACACATGTATATCTCAGAAAGCACCGAAACAATGAGCCATAAGATAGTAATACCAGGCTTTGCAAGCTGCATAGCGCGCAATACCCTCAAGGTATTCCTGCAGGTAGTTGGTGCCAGAAATTCAAACCCATCAGACTCAAGATTATCATCACCTGCACAAGGAAAAGTGGATACCGTAAGAAATACATGCTGTTAGAATATATATTATGTATATATATATATATACATATGGGCACATGTAATAGGTTACTCACAGGGGGCATTTTAGTCTTTTTCTAATCTCTGTATTCATATACGTATATATATATGGGGGTGAGTTTTGTGATCAAGAACACTCTCACTACAATTCCCACATTTCTCTTCTCACTCTACAACTTCATAACTCCCTGATGTTAACATGAGCTCAAGATCCATGCACAAGGCTCCCGCCACTGCGGGATCTGGGAAGGGTCAGATTTATGCAGCATTACCCTTAGAGCATGAGCCTAAGTGGGCATTAATTTTAATAGAACCACCAGAATTAACCCAAAACTGGTATAAAACATTATCTTGATATTTCAATTTCAATTTTTAACAGTAGATGTAGAAGTGGGGCACAGATTTATTATGCTTCAAGTAATAAATCCCCACTCAAATAGTAGCTTCAAGTTTGAGAAGAAGTTCAATATTACAATCAAACAAACCCATAATGCTTCCAACAAAACATATGTGCGTTTTATAAACCTGAAACAGAACTTGAGTGTAATTTCAAAGCCGGTAAATGACCATGAACTCATAGAACCATCAAATCATATCAAAACTCATCTAGACTTATTCAGATTTTAGGCCCACTCCATATCACTAGACCGTCATGTCAATGGTGATAATTTTACCAGCACTGATGAAAATTTGTTAAAACATTAAACTTTATCAATTAACAACCTTTTTTTGAAATAAATTCTAGATTCAATTTTTACAGAAAATGAGCGTCTGTGGGGATTCTACTTCAATTCTCCATTGAGATGAGCAGTACTACAGTGCTACTCTTATTAGATAAGATATATACACGCCTATCAGCCGCCACGCACCCCGTTTAAAATGGTTATGGGGGGCCGTTAAATGGTTTTGGAAGAGGATGGTGACCGGTCCTATAGTAACAACCAGCACGGGTGCTGGGCGAAGATAGTGAAGGTCTCCCCGCCCCATTTATGATGTGAAATACCATTTTACAATTATATTTATGTAATATACAATATTACCCTTAGTGTGCATGTGTATATATATAAGTATGCCTTATGAAACCCTAATATCTCTTCACTCTTCAGTAGGTCAGCTGCCTCTTGGCTATTGAGACATGGGAGAGTCCTCGCCAGTGCGTCTCTCCATCAGCCTCACCATTGCCAGCCACCATTGTGTCTATCCGCCAGCTTCACTGTTACCAGCCAACAGTGAGTGACCCTCGGACATGTGTGTCTCTCCGGTGCTTTTCTTCACTTGTTTGTACCATAACTCTATCTCTCTCTCTCTCTCTCTCTCTCTCTCTCATAGGGTTCATTTTTTGGTGATTTCTGATTGTTAGGGGTTTAGGGATTTTCATCAATCATTCCGGCTTGTTAGGAGTTTTTGTATAATTTCATCCAGTGTGTGCAACTATTCCAAATGCATGTTACGGGATTGAAACTTTGCACAGCACATGCAAGATCTAAATTGACTTGCCAGGAAAAAGAATAGAAAGAAAAGTATTTTCCAGTAGTTTATAATTACTTTCTGTTTCTGAACTAAGCATTGTATAAACCAGATAATTAATACATTGTTTGAATATTACACACCTCAACAAATTTAAATTTTTGTGTCACTAGTTTCCCAATTATTTCATTTTTTTTTTTTTTTTTAATTTAATAAGTCTATGATAAATGAATTGCCAGTTGGAATCAGATTTCATTAAAATAGACTAATAACCTGTCAATCAAGTAGTGTGAAGTTGATTCAGTTGATAATTCAGAACTTGAGACAAACCAAGAGAGTTTGAAATTTTTATATTATTCAAGGATGAAGAAAAAAGAAAATTTGAGTACATTATGAATATGGGCCATCTGTTAATCAAATTTAGTCTTGTCTCTTCCTATTTAGTGAGATTGGACTAAACTTCTAGCTCTAGTTAAACTTTAGTTGGCTTAAAGTTCTAGTTCCAGTATTTTTGGCAGTTTCATTTTTGCTATTTCAATGGTTGCCCTTTTGTTTTCTGTTTTCCCTTCTTATGCTTGCTTATGTGTTAGTCTCTCAATAAATTGAAACTTCAATATTTGTTTCTATGTCAGCATAGTAAAAAAGTAAGAGATTGGAGGGAGAAACTCAAAGTTTGTTTGTTGAAGTGTCAATAAATTATAGTTAATCTCCAACTCCTTCAGCTCATGATTCAAAAATGCACCAAGAAAAAGAAAATTAGCATCAATTGCTTGGAAAGTTTTTTAGAAGGTTACTGTGGATGGGATGGGTTATGGTATTTCCATCCAAGTAGAAATGAACTAATAATTAAAATGAAAATGAGTTGGGAAAAAGTTGGTTGCTAATAAAAATAGAATGAAAATATTCAAATATTCCAACTTATTTAAATATTGCATGGATAATAATTTTATCATGGAATACTTAATTAGCAACACCGAGTAGAGATGAAAATTTTGAAGAAGTTGGTCGCTAATTAAATATTCCATGCCCTAAAGAGTTATCGCCTGATTGTAAAAGTCATCGTGATATCATAGTGGCATTGTCTAATTGGCTTTAAAGCCCGAGTGAGATCATTAGACTGAAGGCAATAAAAATGATGGAAAAATATGTGAAATATTGGGATGTTAACCATGTGGTAATGGGAGTGGCTTTGGTTTTACATCCACAATATGGGATTAAGGCAAGGATGATGATGAAGATAATTATGGAGTCATAGCTTCAGTTGAAATTCAAAAAGTTCACCAGTTAATATGGTTTGCTTCATGAGTACAAAAGCAAGCCGATGTCGGATGTAAATAGTGATGTTGGTGCATTTTTTAAGTTTACTTCTTTAGTCGGAGCTACTAATTTTGAGGAGGATTCTCTCTCAAACTTTGATTTGTTTGTCAACTTGAGTTCGATCTCATGTAAAAAAGACTAAGCTGGACTTTTACTTGGAAGAAATTCTGCAGCCTAGAACAACTAATTTTGATGTCTTGGGTTGGTGGAAGACGAATGGAATTAAGTTTCCTACTTTGCCAAGGATTGCCCAAGATATTTTAGCCTAGAAAGCACGGACACTTCTACGAAGGAAGTATCCGTGTCTGTTTGTGTCGAACACTGACACTCCTCGGACACGTGTCCCACACTTCATGTACATGTCCATAAATAAATATTAAATTTATTGTTTTGGTCACTTCGCTGATACTTTCGGACAATTCACCAACACTTCCCGAATAGATACTTATGCCGACACTTTCCGACATTTTTAACACAAGTCTTGTATATAGAGACACATGTAGAGTAGTCAAGCCCGGTAATTTTTAAAATAATATGAACACAGTCTAAAGTGTTCAAGTATTTTGTTTAAGAAAAATTGGCATTATATATATGGTCAAAAGTGAAGTATAAAGTGATACTTTTCATTTAAAGCAAAAGCACTATAATGAAAAAGTAGTGGAATAACAATATATATAATACAAAATTCATACAATAATGACATAATTTCATTTTCTAAATCATGTCAGAGCAACTCTCAGTATAGAAATTAGAAATGAAATAAAGTTTTATAATACTCTTTCTCAATAGATGTATATATAACTAAGAATTCATATTCATATATAGCCGTGTCCACGCCATACACTAGTCCTACTTTTTGAGATTTTCGAGTGTCGACATATCCATGTAGTATCGTGTCCGTGCCCATGCTACCAAGATTTTAACTAATCAGGTGTATTGTTGCATCAGAATCTGCTATTAGCACTGGCAACAGATTGATTAATACACATCATAATAGACTACATCCATCTACTTTAGAGGCTTCATGCGTTCTCAAAGTTGATTACAAGTGAATGGTAATTTTTTTTTTTTTTTTGATAAGTAATGGTAATTAAATATTAAAATTCTTTTAGTTAATTATTTTTTAATACAATGACTAGCTAAAAAGTTCGTTTTGTTTTAGAAGCACATTAAATCTTCTACCCATCGAATGTCAATATAGCCAAACCTAAATAGATGGAAACAACAAAAGGAATCAAAATAACCACAAACAAAGTATCAACCAAGGACCAATAGATCAGATCATGCAAGCCCAAAAGAAGAGCCCGAACATAAGAATAATCAAAGGAATTAGCCGTTGTAACTGTATAACAGCTAAATCCCAAATCTGAATCCAGCAACCACAGAGATGGCTAGAGCCATTCAACGCGGTAAATGTGTGGGGGCGAAGACAATCATGAGGAATTTCCAGCCAAATTAGGACTACGGGCTTCATAGCTGAATTTGAGGCTCGAAGATTGGAGCTATGCCCTAATCGAGCTTCAAATCCTGCCAAGAATGGAGTTTTGAGATGAAGGCTTTCCCAATGCTTGCATTGTTTTAGAGCTGCTTGTTTTTACACATGGTAATGAGTCATAGTTTCAATTTTTTTCATGGTGGTTGTATGTTAACTGTAATGCCAAGTACTTGGAGAAAAGATCAAAGATCATATACTTCCTTGTGGTATGTGATGCCCAGTACATATTCATATAGTTTTTACTGTCATGCGCACTACATATTTATAGTTCTAAAATCATGGCCAACTTCCTTACTGACTTCAGTTTGGTAATTCTGTGGTGGTTAAAGCAATGAAGAAAAATGCGGCTTCCTCTATTCCATAGCTACTGTTATTGGAGATTAAATATTTTCTTTAGAAACAGAAGTCTTTTATCCAGTTTTTATTACTAGAGATGTGAATGAAGTTGCTCATAGTTTAGCTAGTGAAGCAAATGGTGGAGAAATGTGATACATTATGGGATGTTGATTTCCCAGAAGTGTTGGTTGCTAAATGCATCTCTGATGTTAGTTGATTATTTTCAATAAGGAAAAAAAAAAGGGAGAGAAGAACATTTTGATCAACTTCTTTATAGCTTATACTTTAAAGGTTTATATGTTGAATGGGATTTATTGTATAATGAATAGTGGGAACATCTTCATGTAGATGTTCTTCTTTAATATTTAAACTCTTTAATTTGGTCTAACATGAGAATCCTTTTCTTTACAGCTCTACAACTCATAGAATATTCATGGAAGCTCTTAGTAATTTGGTTTGTTGGAAACTCGCATTTTTATTTTTATTTTTATTTTTTATTTTTTTTGTTGGAATAATGTAATTTGGTTAGTATACTTTGGTATGTTGGAAACTATCACACATCAAAAATAAAAAAGGTACGTAGGAATAACTTTACAATAAATCCCATTCAATTTCATAACTAGTTGGTGCGTACAAATAATAAAAAATAAAGAAGTTCCGTTTATCCACCCTATTTTGATTTGGTTCTGCCGATTGAATACAATCAAGCGGAATCCGATTTGAATGCAACAAAAAAAATGGAAAACTCAAAAATGAAATAGAAAAGATACAAAATCAATGAAAGCGTGTGGGTGGAAAAAGTTACTAGATACCATTGACTCCGGTATCTAATAAGTTCTCCAGGGAAATATGTTGGTTTAGCAGAAACAATTAGAGGGTTTCAATTGATCCTTTCCAAAGAATTAGACGGTCTTCCCTAACAGGCCCTTTATTTGGTAGGTAACATCAACGAAGCTACCGGGAAGGCTATGAACTTAGAAATGGAGAGTAATTTGAAGAAAAGACCTTAAATCTTTGTGTACTGACCCCTAATCGAATTGTTTGGGATTCAGAAGTGAAAGAAATCATTTTATCTACTAGTAGTGGTCAAATTGGCGTATTACCAAATCACGCCCCTATTGCCACAGCTGTAGATATAGGTATTTTGAGAATACGCCTTAACGATAAATGGTTAACGATGGCTCTGATGAGCGGTTTTGCTAGAATAGGCAATAATGAGATCACTGTTTTAGTAAATGATGCGGAGAGGGGTAGTGACATTGATTCCCAAGAAGCTCAGCAAACTCTTGAAATAGCGGAAGCTAATTTGAGGAAAGCCGAGGGCAAGAGACAAACAATAGAGGCAAATTTAGCTCTCAGACGAGCTAGGACACGAGTAGAGGCTATCAATGTAATTTCATAACTAGTTGGTGCGTACGAATAATAATAATAATAATAATAATAATAATAATAAAATAAAAAAGTTCTGTTTATCCACCACCCTATTTTGATTTGGTTCTGCCGATTGAATACAATCAAGCGGAATCCGATTTGAATGCAACAAAAAAAATGGAAAACTCAAAAATGAAATAGAAAAGATACAAAATCAATAAAAGCGTGTGGGTGGAAAAACTTATTAGATACCATTGACTCCGGTATCTAATAAGTTCTACCTACTATTGGATTTGAACCAATAACTCCCGCAGTATGAAACTTTCAGATATCAAAAATAAATATGTATGTTGGAAAGATTCAGTTTTCTTGAAAGAATGTTATTATTTGGTTAATTTAGGAAAACTGTGTAAATTTTGGAAGAATGTTTATTTGGTATTGTATTCTTAAATATGAGTTTTTAAGATCTAAGTGCGAAAATTAGTGGAGCATGTGAAATATTGAGTGGGAATTTAAACAGGACAGGACGAGGACGGGGTGGCCTCAGTTAAACAGGGACGGGGAAGGCCCCCCGCCCCAAACCCGCCCTGTCGCCATCCCTAGATCACATGTTCTTCAACTCTTCTTACAATATAATTCACATGTAGCATAAGAAAATCTAGGATTAAGAAGATAAATTGTAAGAATAATTTTATGTTTTTCACTCAGCAAGAGTTTTACAATTAGTTGATATAAGCAACAAGCATTGGGTGGGTCATTGCTTGACATGATTGATAAAAGCTCAAAGCAGGTTCAAGCCAGAAGTAGTCACATTGTGAAACAACAATACCAAATATAAGATCTACACTAGTCTTAACCACCCAACACTGTAATATCTCTTACCTCAACTTCAGCCCATAATCTATCTCTAGTTTTAACCTCCCAACAACCTATGTAAGAAAGACTGCAATGGGTAATTAAATTCATAAGTATTGGGTGCCTTGATGGATCTTACCACCATATGGTTAATATATACATCTTCTTCTTCAAGCATTTCACTGATATTTCAGAGGGATTTGGTAAAAAAACATATTAATTATTTGTAGTTTTCATTATTGTCTAAGCATTTGGCATGATAGTCAAATTATATCCAATCCTTAACAGACTGGCTTGTCTTTAAATCTACTAAATTTCATTCTATGTTTCCATTAGTCTACAGATGTTCCGCGAATTCTTAAATCCTACTGTAGCATATCTAAAATTTTCCTATACCAAAACTTGACTATGGATCAAGGCTTGAATCATGTACCAAGTTTGACCAGATAAAAGTCTAGGCCAGCAGTCCTACACATCTTGTTTCAAATCGTGCTTATCTCAATACATGCTTTGGCATCCAACCTCGCCCATTCACTAGTGTTTCTAAAATTTTCCCAGAAAACCAAAAATTATGGATTAACGCCTGAATCATGTACGACGTTTGACCAGATATTGGAGTTTAAAATTCTAGGCAAGCAGTCCTACACATATCTGCACAACATACAACCAACACCTAAATACAAAAAAGCAATTTATAATTTTCTAATTGTAAAGATAAGACCTACTATGCTTCAGCTGTATCTCAATGAAAAAAAAAAAAAAAGAAAGAACTGCGACTATTTATCTCTTACCTTTCTCAATGTAGAATGGATGGATACCAAAAAGACTGTCACATGACCTGTCATCATTGCATGTAATAGTGCCAGGCATTTTAATATCAGCCCAACCATAATTTTCCATCATGGACAGATTGGAGTCAACCAAACTAGACTCACCCACCTATTCAAGCAAAGAAGATATGTCATTCTTATTCATTTAATATTGTTATCAAATAAAGCATAATGCTGAGAAACCAAAAAGCAATAAGAGAAGAGTTAACAAACAGCCAATTCCAAAAGTAAATAGTTTCTGCAGTGGGTGTATGTGTGTGTGTGTGTGTGTGTGTGCATGTCAACTTTTTTGAAAATATACTTTACATATCATACAGGCACTTGCAATCCAAGTTATTCAAACATTAGTAGCCTCCAAAACCCATAAAGAGTTGAAGCATACCAAAACTCTCAAATGGCAAGATGATTAGCACTAACTTTAGTTATTTCACAATTTTTTGGATCAAAAAAAATGGACAGCTAGTATTTCTCGCACTTCCCCGCTTGAATAAAGTTACAGCATCACAACTGAAATCATCGCTTCAGCACGGAATGCTATTATTCATATGCATGTATGAAGCTTTCCAGTTTTAACAAGACAGTTAAGAAGAGCACTCCAGTACTTTGATCAACTCCTACAGAAGTCCTCTTCACAAGCATGCCCGGATAAGAGGAGTAAGTAACTCGTTAATTCCATGATCAACTTGAGCAAACAAGATAATTAGATGATATGTTCCAAACGCAGATTGCATGACTGAAGATTTCTACAATACTATGGCGTGCAAAAATCTATTTTCTACTCCCACATAAGATACAGACTTTAACATAGATAATGCCAAAGGTAAGAACTCAATCGAAAACTTAGAAGACTAGCAGCATACACCTTGCCATGTCTAAGGTTTCCTTTTTCAGGAGGCCAAATGCTTCATGTCAGGAAGTTCAACACGTTTGGAAAATTCTATAAGAAACCCAAATGTAAATTGTAAAACCAAATTACATTAGTTCGACTGAAATATAAAATCCTATACCAATTGGACGCAATTGAGCAACTATGAAAATTCCAAACAAACCCCTGGAGCTAGTAGAAGCAGAAAACAAAATAGTACCAAATGCAAAATGTGTAGATACATAAAGTTGCACATTTACACTGTTTAAAAATAGTAGCAAGATCAAAATGTGTACATCAGAAAAACGGATTCACACTTTTTAAAGCAAACAATGAACCTTTAGTTGTCCCAGAAGAAAAGACAGGCATCTGTCCCTCAACTCTCCAGCCTCGCTCTTTGAAATACCTGTACCTGTAAACACATGCAAAAGAACAGAATGTCTTGAAAGAGAGAATGAAAACAATAAAAGGTCTAAAAATAATAAATGAAATGAGGCCAATTACCCACTACCTAGAAAGGAGAAAAATATATAAGGACAGGTTATTGTCAATTAACAAAACTAACTAAACTACTTTTCTTTAGGTAAAACGGACTAGCATTCCAAAAAGCAGCTGTCGCACTTGGCAATTGCTTCACCAAAACTTTTAAGGGCAGTTTGGCACTTTGAATTGAAGCTATGATGAGCTTCAATTGATAAAGTATTAAGAATTTTATGAGCTTAGAGTACAGTATCAACATATATAACATAATGTTACACTACAAATCACTATATATTTATAAAAAGTAGATCGACCAAGCTTTTCTACTGAGAAAAAGCAATTTTCAAATTTGCTTGTGATTAAGTAGATGCAGGGTTAGGTTAAGAAACACCCTCATTGTGGTCGGACCTGTCTGCACAGGTGCCCATCCCAGGTGCTTGGCGTGACACCGGATCAAAGACTGAATTTTTGGCTCTAATACCAACTGTAAAGGGTCGCACCATGACCTAAGAGCTTATTAGGTAGTGTTGCATACCTACCCATATATGCTCAACACTCTCCCCATCCAAGTCCGATTGGGGGACTAGAACCTCCATCGCTAGCCATAACATGTGTCGGTTAATTTTTTACTAGTAGGTGAGGGATAAGTAGATTATCAATCCAGCTAATTCAAGGAGTTAATAAAATAATTTCAAAATTTTCAATATTAGAGAAGACATAGTGTGTTATAGAATAGAATGAAAATAAAGAATACTGATTAACCCCATTCTTTGGTTAAGAGGTAAGGATGATGAAAACAAATTCCAACTCACTAGAATTAAAAGGAAATATCCTAACCAGTTCGTTTCTTACAGAGATCATGTCACCGTAGTAGTTTCATCAAATGTACAAAAATGTTTTATCTTTAACAAAAAAAAACTAAAGGCAAACCAAGTGCACAAGGCTCCCGCCACTGCGAGCTCTGGGGAGGGTGTGACCTCCGCAACCTTACCTCCACATGTAGAGAGGATATTCTTTGTTTCAAACCTGTGACCTCCAAGTCACAGTGGAGCAACCTTGCCGTTGCGTCAAGGCTGGCCCTCGAAAAAAATTAATTTTTAATAGAAATTTGAAAATCATCAAAAGCTTGTAACGACCTTTCCCTTACCACTTCAGCAACACAGACACTAAAACATGCACAGACACGTGCACATATTAGCAACCACAGAAGGTTGGAAAAAAACATTTTATTGTGCCATGACAACACGACAGATAACAAAACAGAATGCATGGACTGAAGGAAATGAAAGATATGAAAATTCAAATAGAAGAGGAGATTATCCCATTTAGGGAACAATTCTAATTACAAAAATTTCCGAGAATGTAATACAACAAAGTAAAGTAAAGTTAATCAATAATAACAACACATTTATAGAGAACTGACATCATCCAAAACTACCTTCTTCAGAAAGTTAATCAAGTCATATAAAAGAAATGATATGTCAATATTATAGAAAAAATGGTACCACCATAAGAAAACTATGTATACCTAAACTTAGTCCATCAAGCAAAACAAGGAACGCCCCATGTACAAATGCAAGCTCAGGTTGTAAACTTCTCGTAGTTACATTAATAAAAGCAATCCAAGACAACAGATCTCTCACAGTAAGTGTTCTTCCTGTTTGTAACTTGTTGAACCACTGTCAGGTAGAAGAAAAACAATTTTAACGATCAGTGTATTGCTAAAAAGGTATACGAAATCAATCATAACTGCAACATCAATCAAATACAAATGCCATTAACATATAAAGAAGCTCATAATAGTTTCACATAATTCTAGTTGCTTCTAGAATCATTAAAGGAGAATTAACATTAGTAGTTACAACAATGAACAAAACAAAAACAAAAAAATTAATAATAAAAAAAGTAACAAGACCAAAAACAAAGACAACAACATTCCTCAGCAAAACATAATTACAATGTCAATATGTGATTTGCAAAATGGCGTTACTCGGTGTCATTCCTGCATTGATCCCTACAATATCAGGTGCTAGGAGAGAGAACTGCATAAAACTTAATCATAATCATTATTTGCACAAACCGTATTCCCAATCATAATAAGGAACCATCTTGCAGCACCAATGGCAACCGATATCCGACAGTTGCTCATCATTTTCTGGTATTAACCAACGGCTGTGTAGCCTAGTGGTAATTCCTCACCTTCCAAAGTAGAAGGTCGAGGGTTCAAGTCCCCATAGGGACAAAAGTGGGTGGGTGTGTTTTTTGCCAAGGTAGGAAGGACTAGAATTGCTTTTCTTTCATACTATCGATTGCTGTGACTTCTGGTTTTATGTTGAACTGCTGCAACACACTGACGAGCCTAGTAGACAAGGGTTATCTGTGAGTTCATATCTTGCCCAAACCCCCTGGTCATGAATGTTATGATTTCCTATAAAAATAAAAAATAAAAATAAAAAAGCAGGATCATTCATGTAATTCCCGAATTTCACCTTATAGGTTCTACTAGAACTAAAAGCTTACAAAGCAATGGATATTGATCGGACTTCTAGATTTTCCTAAACATCCATTTGAAAAAGAAGAGATAATTAGATAGGGCAAAGCAAGCTGAAATATGGGTGCTAACGAAGCCGACCTAAGGACACCAGGCAGTTTCTTTATTTTTATAGAGCAGAATTCTTCTTAGAAGAGGTTCAGATTGGGAAGTTCCATTGGGAAAGTCCAAAAAATCCCAAATTTGGAGAGCTATCTTCAGCATTGACTTCCAAAAACGGGACAATTATTCTGGCACATCCCAATAAGAAAGAGGGACAATTATTTTGGGACAAAGGGAGTGATCTTTTAGGAACTCTAAACCACCACTTTGGATCAAATGTTCCCAAATATAATTTACGAAAGAAATTATCACTGAAATACTGTAACCAATAACAGAATTATTCTAAGGCTTAAACTTCAATTTCAAATACTATCTCGGCACTATCATTAGATGGGAAAGAATTCAGGTGGGTACACCAGAGGTGCGTCCTTCCCGGTCCTCTCATACTAGGTCATCTTTGAGAGTTAATTGGTAAAAAACAAAAAATGCCCAAAAAGTATTTTAGGCCCATGTCAAATTCACTTACAACTGCCATATGTTCATCAAACCAAATTAATTGGAATATAATCCATGGAACACCTATAATAGTCCTGAAACAAAAAGAAAAACAAAAAAATCGAATGTACTTGTTTTACCAAACATCCATTCACTTATCCATTGCAGTAAAAACAACTGGATATAGAATGTAGATGATAAATAAGAAAACAAATCATAGTCAGAAAAGGAAGAATATCTATGTACAAACATTGAGAAAGTGTAATCCAACATACTTCCCAGAAATTCAGCATAGGATCCACAACACATGAAAGTTCTGTGTCTGAAATTCTGCAAATATAAAAGAAAATTAAGAGCAAATTTCTGCAAGTAATTTTTTATGTAAATGAACTTGCTTCTTATAACATATTCTCATGATACACATACCTCTGTAAAGCGATACTTCTAAGCTCATTTAGGTCATTAACAGGGGGAACCCAGATCTCAGTAAACCGATTGCGCAGAGCTGGAGATAGTTCCTTTTTACCATAATCACCACCAGGATTCATTGTCGCAAGAAGAAAGAAGTTTGGATGTGCAGTTACTTTCTCAAGATCGGACCCTCCTTTCTCAGCCAAAGACTGCAAAAGTGGAAAGATTTAAGAATTGTGGGGGTGGGGGTGGGGGTGGGGGGGGGGAACAAACGACAAAAACAAAACAAGAATAAAGAATATTCTGGAACTCTAAATGAAACAATTAGAAGCAAAGAACTAATTGAGACAGGATGTCCAGAAAAAAAAATAGAAATGGAGACCAGTAGAAAGCAGCAAGACGAAAACAATTTGAGCGAAAAAGACCATGTAGAGACAGCCAGATTAAGAAAAAGAAGCAAGTGGTGAACAAAGAGCAAGCATGGAAGAAATCAAAAGGTAATTACAACAGAAGACGGCTAATTTTCAAATCAAAATATTTAGTTGATAAATGCAATTTAACTGTCAGCTAAAAGTCTTGGGCATCCCAGGAAGGAACATATTGTCTAAAATTTGACATACACACAACTTTTTGTATATGATTAACAAAAGAAACACTCTCCATGCCCTTTCAACAAAGTTTGTTACTATTTATTGTTAGTACTAGTTAATTCCATGAAGACGATTCCAATTGCATTTCCACAGAAAACAGTTACAGTGTACTAGTACTTGCACCAAAAGTCAAGTTTTGGATTCATTAACTACCAATCTCCCTGACAACACAGCGGGGTATAATCCAAAACCATACCATTTTTAAAAACAAAAAATCTGAAAGGCAAAATTGCATTTCCAGTAGCATGCATAGGTTTGTCATGGAGGAGGTGTTCAACATGCATCCAAATATGAACTTGAGCTGCAACTATGACCAAGAGATTTCAGACACGCATATTATCCTCATACGAACTCAACTTGAGATTTAAGCATGACAGATTACGCACCAAAATTCAATACCGTCCAACAAAGAAATTAATGTAACAGCAAAGCGCACTCAATAATACTCCCCCAACACAGCTGTCCACACACACACAAAACAACAATAACCAAAAAAAAACACCTTGGAACCCGCACCCTAAAGTCAAGACCACTGCCCACCACCTCCTGTCAGTACAAAAGCTCCAGGAACCCACTGGCATCCTCCATCTCCCAATCCTGAAAGTGCCTCAAAAAATGCACATCCCAAGTCGTTTTCCAGCTATCAAGCCAATAGCAGTCAACCACCAAGGAGTGCCTATTCATAGCAATCCTGAAAAGTCTGAGGAAAGAGCATGCAAGAGAACAGTCCCTACACCAAATATCATCCCAAAATCTGATTCCCCTACCATCTCTGACTGGGAACCTGATGTGTTTAAAGAACTCATACCACCCCTTCCGAATGAATTTCCAAGCCCCTAACTCCGCCTAAAATTCTCACCTCACAAGAACACCAGTCCCCTCTCTCCTACCAAATCTGCAATCAATCAATCTCCTCCACAGTATTTATCTCCACACCAAACCTACATAACCACTTCCCCAAAAGAGCCTTATTGAAGGACTCCAGCCATCTAATACCCAAGCCTCCCAATTGAATCGGGCTACAAACCAACTCCCAGTTAACCAAATGGTACTTGAATTCCTCTCCCATACCACCCCAAAGGAAGTTCTGTTGAATCTACTCAATCCTCTTCGCCACATAAGAAGGAATCTCAAAAGGTGAGAGAAAATAGATAGGAAGGCTCGAAAAAGTGCTTTCCATTAAAGTTATCCTCCTGCCCACCACCTCATGATGGTATAAAAGCTCCCCGGACCCAATGGCATCCTCCATTCCTGAAAGTGCCTCGAAAAACGCACATCCCAAGCCATTCTCCAACTATCAAACCAATAGCTGTCAAACAGAAAGGCGTGCCAATCCGTGGCAATCCTGAAAAGTCTGAGAAAGAGAATGCAAGAGAACGATCCCTGCACCAAATGTCCTCCCAAAATCTGATTCCCCTACCAACTCTGACTCGGAACCTAATGTGTTTAAAAATTGCATCCCACCCTTCCAAATGAACCCCACTGCTCAATGTGGAATGAACACACTTGCCTGCTATAAGAACTGAGTCCAAATTTTGACGACCTCGGACAAAAGCATCTTGAAAGTCCGAGACAGCCCCATCCATAACCTCTTCCAATCATAGGGCAAGAACCTTAGCTATAAGTTTGTAATACATCCCAGATTCCCACCAAGCTAATAAGTCACAACGTCATCTCAATATTGTGTTCCAACACTGTCTCAACATTTGCATTTCGATCATGTTCATATCGATTTCTTCACGGCCCAAAAGTCTTTCCCATAACACATAAATAATCTAATAACTATTTTATAGAATTTACCTTCAAATTTTGGAGGTACAAATTAATCACGCAATATGCACAATAGAACTCCATTTAACCCTCATGCTTTAACTTGATATCATCAAGCCTAAGTGAAAATATATAAATATATAAATAAGTTTGATTTTTGCTATTTCTTTTTTTTTTTTGATAAGTTTGATTTTTGCCATTTCTTGACCCTCGATACTTGCTATATCCCCACCCGTGTTTTTAATTTTGCTGAAGTTAAATTTAATATATTTTGTTTACACCCTCCCTTCTTAAACTACAGCATCTTTCCAGACTCCTGACTTAACAATATTGCTACCCTAGTTTTATAGAGTAAAAATATAATCAGCAAAAGCATACACCATGGAACCTTACCCTGTAAGTGCCTTATTAGTTCATCCGTAATTAAACAAAGGATATATGATCTTGACTCTCTCTTTTTCTTTTTTCTTTTTTGATAAATAAATAATAATAAATAAATAATAAAAAATAAAAATAAAATCATTCAAGACACTCAAGAGGGGAGCTCCCAAGGAAGTATACAAAAGGGCTCACACAATCATCTATAATCTCAAACTATCAAGAAAATCCCCCACAGATTTACAATTTCGCCCAATTATCCAAAAGACTAAAGAATTCAAAATGGTGTATTTGAATCTTCAATTTAAGTTAACAGGAAATGAATCTTCATCAAGGTCTCTCTCAGTTAGTTCCATCATATGTGTCCCTTATCATGTTAGTATTATATCAATTTGTGATTTCTTCTTACATATTTCATTACAAAGTTCTCAATTGCTCAGTAACCAATTCAGTAGCTTTGCGCCACTGCAACAACAAAGTACCACATCACCACCTTGTCATGACAAAACCCGAAAGGGAAGTTACCCAATCCTGGTACCGCACATTGGAACCTTTCAGATTTAAAAAGGTGGCTGCCCTGACGGTCAAACTCAGACTAATAGCACTAATGTTCAGGTGTTGAACCATTGAACCAGGCAACGACCCTCTAAACATTTAAATTACTATCTACTCAAAATATGTCCACATATTTCTATTTTTCTATTATCCATAAATCTAATTTCATGTTTATATTTTACTTCATGGAGCATTTCATTCATTTCAGAAGCAGGCAAATTTATCACAAATCTTCCACACTTGTGCTACTATTACATATCACTGAAGCATTGTTTATACTAAGGTTCTGTTTAGTAGACCAACTCAGCACTTGCAATTGAACATGTTTTATATAAGTGGATCTTCAGTTATCACTTATTCTAAACGTGCATAATGAGAATTTGCTCGATGTTGTTACTTAGCCAGACAAATTTACCCTTAAAAGAAATTATGTATTAAAAATTTTGCATTTAAAATTCAGCTCTATAAATTTTCAGCAGTTAATTTTAAGTTTTAACAGAGCATATTAAATGTCCAACTCAAATAGCTTTGTGTAACAAAACTGACGACAACAAATAAATAAAACAAGCTTTCACATTAACTACCCACCAATTTCCTTTCTGGCTCCAAGACACTGTTCAACCTTTCAAGTACGCTATCATCAGCCAAAGATATCTCATCCACAAGAAACAGATCTCCATTCTTCATTGCTTGAACAAGAGGCCCATCTTGCCACATAAAAATGGTCTTCCACTTCTGGTAAAGCTGAGCTAGATCCAGCTTCATTTGTTCAAATAAATTAAGATCTTGCAGAGAGACATCAGGATGGGAGATGAGTTCTTGCCGGTAGCTCTTTATAATTACAGCCAAATTATCAAGAGTAAAAGAAGCTTGACCAATATCTGAAGAAATTGTCTGCAGCCAAGCAATTGTATTGAGAGAACAATAAATAATACATAGTGCAGAAAAACTACAACAATGAAGTTCAATATCATAAAAAGAAATGAACATACGATATTATCAGGAAAGTGAATAAAAGGCTTGGACAGTATCAATTGTTCGCATAGAAATCTGAACTCCGAAGATATTTCTGATCTCTCTCGTACAGGATGAAACCCCTGTTTATTGATTCATCAAAAGATATTTCACAAAAATGGAACTTATTGTATGCTTCTATAAGACGTCATAACAGCAAATGCTCGAAAAAAATGCAGTTAATTTAAAACGAGTAAAAGCAAAAACATAAATAAATGATAACCAACCCCAAGGAAATCAGACGTTTCTGTATATTGATGGCAGTTCAGAATATGCAATTTAGACCCCAAAACAATACTTAATAACTGGCAAACAGTAGTCTTCCCACCACCAGTTTCACCAACAAGGAGGACAGGTTCTCGCAACTTGTAGCAACGTTCAACAAGAAAGAACAACCTCCACAAACTTTTAGTCCATGCAATTCTGCAATATCCAAGAAATTGATAAATGGAAATTAGAAGGTGTAAGCGCAGTAATCTGCGCTAAACTTAATTCTGCTGACAGATGCATACCTCCCAAGATTCTGAAAAACTTCAGAATATTTGCACAAGTTTATAACCTTGTCACTTTCCTCTGGTTCCTGAATCACAGAATAAGGAAGAGTGTAGTCAGTCATACCGAATGTTGATGTTTTGTAAATAATAAGGTAAGACTTAGGTAAGGAACACAATGCATCTTCGACAAGTCAGCAAATATGCAAACGCTAAAGCAATTCCCTTGGATTTCGCTCAATAAATAAATCAATAACCAATCACCGAGCCATCAGTAATTTATATTACACAACCCCAAAATAAGGACGATGTTCCCTAATACTATAGCATGTTCCCTAATACTATAGCATTAATGATACAGAAAACATTCTCTTCTGCTGTAAAGTAAGCAGATAATTCTGCTCACATGAAACAGTTCCAAACTACACAAGTTCAGAGAACTCCAGTTGTAACATCAGCAGGCAAATCTGAAAACAAACTATGGCTCAATTAAGGCTTTAACAGAATGCCAAAGATGAAACGTGAAAGACATGAACTAGCATGATACACGAAAAGATACCTAGCCCATGCCTCCCTAGGACCAACTGCGAAGTAGTGAAGTAATCAAGTAAAGAAGAAGAGATTATCTAAAATCAAGTTCCTTTCCCATATTTACTTATTAAAAAAGCTCTTTTACCATATTTGCAATACAAAAGTTCATTCGCGTGGATGAAGTTATAAAATGTTATATGTGTTCAAGACTTCCAAAAAAAAGAGAGAGAGTACTTTATAATGGCCTTGGGGAAAAATAAATATAGATAGATACATGCTTCAATAGAGATATAACCAAATTTGAGAGGGAGATCTTATTGCCATAGCAGTTTTCTGTTGCTTCAGAAAAACTCAGGTGACATTATCCTGTCATGTGTTCAGTTGTCCTCGAAGCAAAAAATTTAGCACATGATACCCTCGTATAACATAGATATTGACACAGGAATGATCTAAATTTATACAGGTAGCAGAATGATTATTTATATACAAAAAGAGAGGGAGGGAGGGAGATTAAACCTGCTTGTAGAGGTCATCCTTGGCTAGTTTAGTACGGAGCTTCCTCTCCAAAACTTCTTGAACAACAGTTCTCTCAGTCTCATCTCTTAGCCTTTCAGCCAACAAAAAAAAACCCTCACTAGCTAAATCTGCATATGAATTCCCAAATGTTCTGAAACGACCAGCCCATCGAAACAAGTCGCGTGGGGTAATAAAACCATGTTTTCCTGCAAAAACTTTAGTAGTCTGCCTGCGCAATTGCAGCTCCTTCATAACTTCAACCATTTTCATAGCATAGCTTTCAGGGATAAGGCACCTCTTCTCCAATATCGTGCTCAACTCTGTTTCTGGTATCTCATCAACATGGATCTCCACAAAACGGTTGCGAAATGCTCGAGAAAGCATTTTACGACCACCATAGAAAGTGGGTGGATTCTGAGTCGCAAACAGCATAAAATCTCTATGTGCGCGAACAGTTTCATTCAGTTCAGGTACAAAAAGTTCCCTGTTGTCATCTAGCAACCGGTTCAATGCTTCCAAAACATCAGACGGGGCTAGGTTAAGCTCATCCAGAACTATCCAATATCCATTTCGAACAGCTTTAACCAGCACCCCTTCCTGAAATACAAGCTTTCCACTAGCATCAGTGACGTACGAACCCAGATATTCCTGCAGATCGGTGTGTTCATGGTTATTGATACGGACAAACTCATGACCAGTTATTGCAGCAAGATACTGGACAAGACTAGTCTTCCCACTAGATGTGGGGCCCTGCAAAAGAACAGGATATCTTCTACCAAATATAGCACGGGCCAAGCTCCTCAGATGTTCCTTAACACTCTTGGTAAGAACGTAGTTCTCCAAGAAACCACCAGAACTGGAGTTCCCGTCAATTTTCAAATAATCACTAAAAGGGACATGCGGAGGTAAATTTCCTCCCATCAGATATGACAGAATCATTTGTTTCATTACCTTAGCACTAGGTTCATCCAACAAAGTAAGGAAAAACATACAAAATCCGTCGTAAAGTGCTTTCTGGAATCCAAATTTTCCTCCTGCAATATTTGTATATTCAAGTGCACGATAAAGAGACCTGAGACTGTACTGGGGCTTCTGATTGGCCCCATCCTGCAACCTCTCTTCAGATTCCTTCTTGGCTGCTTTGTAGAAACGCACTACTTTATCTACTAATTCACTATTCAAGTGGCTGCCATCCAAAGAGTGATTAATAAAAACAACCAAATCTTCGTCCTCTAACACATCATCAACAAAGTATTCCGTAAACCTACTCCGTAACGAATAGGGCAAGTCTCTCTTTCCGGCATCAGTGGCAGGATTCATACAGGCAAATATACGAAAATTGGGATGTCTATGAATATAATCAACATCGCCCCTTTCAACCAAACAAAGTGACCCATTCTCTTCTTCAAGGACACCAATAACTCTCTGCAAGGTTTCTGGAGGAGCCAAATTTAACTCATCAAGCAAAATCCAGTCACCATTTCTAAGTGCAGTTACAAAAGCTCCTTCTACAAATGAAAATATCATTCCAGATGAGGCAGTAATTTGAGCACAAGCAACTTTGAGTTTCAAATAGAAATTTTTCCAAGCTCTCAGTAATTTTTCATCCAAGGGTCTGTTCCGTTTTCTACCAGACCCAGAGCTTTCGGTTTCAAGTAACCCAGATCTTCCAATTTTGGCTACCTTTTTAGCATATTTCCGAAGTCCACTTACCAATTTTTCCCAATTATTATTACTCACAAGTTTCTTTAAACTAGCAAGAACTTTCTCATTATCCTGTGTAACAATATATTCTAGTATTAGTGGGTCATCTAAACTTTGAAATGCGAACAAAAGAAAAAAAGAAAAAAGTAAAGAAAATAACGAACAAATAATACCTTTGAAGAGAATGTATTAGTGAAAAGAATCTCAAACTCCTTATAAAGAGGTATGCATACAAATTGTGCATTCATAGGCTTAAATCCACCTAATAAGTCAGCAGCATCACTTTGTTGGCTTAAGTTCTGAAACGATGAAAGAAATTGGTCATAAACTATTATTATTGCGTATTAGATTGTACAGGTACATAAATATTTCAGAAATGCACACAGAGTTCGGCCGTGAGAATACCAGAACTGTAAGTTTCCGACCAAGCCTTCTAGCTAGATTCTGAACAAGAGTTGTCTTCCCTGTACCAGTTTCACCAACCAAAAGAACAGGCTCATTGTACTTGATGGAGCACGCTATTCTCTCAAGAACATGTAATGAGCTACGAATTTCAACAAAACGTTGTTTTTTGTCATGGGACTGCAGAAAACACGCAATGGAACGTCAGCAAACAAGCTAAAAGCTAACTGCGCTCAATCAAAACATCATCAAATGCAGGAAGTCCTTGCCTCTTGATTACGTTGGAGAGTAATCCGTCCAATACGCAAATCAACATGCAAATCCTGCAGGTAGGTTGTAAATATGAGGAAGTGCTAATGCTATACTGTCAAAACAGATAAAACATCATACATAGAAACAGTGGAAACCTGGATAACGGGTTTATTAACAGGGTATAATGTCTCTGCAGCTGAAATTGGCACTGCCCACAGCTTTGCAATGTCTTTCATAATAGTTAACCGATTTTCAACAGAACTAGAGAAAGCTGCAAAAATATCAACAGCCTGAAACATACAACACCGATATTAGATAATAGTTAGTAAATCTAAAAATATTCATCAAAAGACACCAAAAAGAAAAAGTGGAACCAATCATATCAAACCTCTTGATAAATGCTATTACACACGTAAGTTGACAGGCCATCCCTACCAAAGCTAAAACCAAAACCTGCAATTCTCTTGCACCATTTTAGGAGATCCCTGCCATTGCGAATGAATATAAACAATTAGTAATAATCAAACAATCTTGACAAGGAAAGGTATTTTGGAATAAAATTTATTACCTTAATGAGAACCTGCTGAGAGAGTTTAAAGAAGCACTTCCAAACTGAAATCCTGCAAGTTGGTTAACCCTTTCAAAGGTTTCTGCCAAAAACACCAATCGCTGTCTCGTAAGATGTCTACAGCCTAAAATCAATTGTTATATTATAATTAAAGACCATATAAATGCAGGCACACCTAAGAGTTTCCCTGCAATAGGCTCCAAATCTGGATATCTTGCTTTTACAATCCTTAGCAAGTCCTGATCAGTTGAGGGTCCAACCAGCACTTTTCTCCAAAGATTGTTAATTGAACCACCTATTATTTGTAACATAAGAAAGAAAAAGGAAGAAAAATCAACATTCTCTAATTCGAATGAGTAACACTTCCATATGGATGGTAAATTTTCCAACTGTGGACATTTATAAGATTTAGAAAGCTTAGTTTATAAGCATAGATGATCTACTCTCAGAGTCTATAAAATTAGAATACCTGCATAGGAAGTGAGTATCAATAGTGCTTAGCTGATGACTTAGCAAAAAAAAATACCCCAATATTCTTGGGGAAAGTGAAGATGCCACACACTAGACCACCCACATAAAACATATCTAAAGTAAGAACCAGATGACAACATTTGAAATTACAAATACCAGAAAACCAGGAGAAAAACGAAACTACTAAAATTAGCACACAGTAAAACTAAAGCAAAAATTGAACACTGATGAGTAAAATAGAAGCACCAGATGAATAGCACATTGACATGCATCCCCAAAACTTTATTATTTCTACACATTCATACATATCATTTATTATTGAAAAATATTACTTGTAAAATAACAACTAGTTTTGTTGTTTTTTAAACGTTCATACATATCATTATATATCACTGAATAGTAGACTAATAATAACAACAGTTAATCCATCTAAGCAACACTGAGAATCACAAAAATGCAACCAACTTTTAGAGGGTGGGGGTAAGGAACTCAGATTGTGTGTAGACCTTCTCTAGTACAAGATACATCAAGCTTTAAACTTGATATTGTGGAGAACAGTCGAAACCTTTCTGCAACCTTTATCCCCTGCAAAGGTAGAACATAGTTCACTTGTTCCAGACTAAACAATAAAAGAAGAAAGATAGATAGATATATAGTGAATGGTTGCAAAAAGAACAAAGTAGTTGATGAGAATCTAACAGAACCATCAGCAAAGAAAAGGATTGATAATGCTTAAAATAAAATTAAATAAATAAATGTGAAAAAGTTTCCTGCTCGAGAAAGTATTTTTTCTCGAGCAGAGCTCATCCATAAATAATAAACTCTGCATGAAAAGAAAAAAAAAAACGATATCACGCCTTTTTTTCACTTTTAATTTTTTTCATTCCTTGGAGTTCTTTTCCATGGTGCATGCCCCTGTAAAAGCTTGAGCTTATTCAGATTTAAAAATGCCTCAAAACTACAATACGACAAATATAAAAGCATCTAATATAATGCAGAAATCACAAACAAACAACTTATTTAATTAAGAGAGAACATAGCCCACAAAGAAAGATAATAATATAGTAACAGCTTGGCTAAGTTTCTTTTTTATTTTTTCCCCTTTCCCATTGATAAGAAAAGAAAGTTATTTTTGGCTAGCTTTTACATAGAAATGCACCCAAAAAATAAAAAACTGAGGACAACAGCCCCACAGAAACACATGGTATGACTTATGAACCTACGCAAAAAAAAAAAAAAAAAAAAAAAAAAAAAAAAAAAAAAAAAAAAATATGATACATATGGGGAAATGTGCTCCAGAATATGTAGAATAGAACTATATAATGTTTTCCTATATAGGAAGCAAGTAAAAAGGTAAATACCTCCACATGACCAGTTAAGAATGAACTTGAACCTTCCAGCAATGGCAATAAAATGGATTGTACATCAGACGGTGCTTTGTCAATATCCTCAAAGACAACCCAATATCCATTAAGAACAGCCTGTTAATTATATATTTAGATATACCATGACCAGATAAAGCATAATGAAAAAAATTCTTTTTGAATGAGAAATAAACCTGAGTTAAAAATCCAGGCTGCCATCTAAATTCACCGGGTTGCTCCGTACAGACATAACTACCGATCAAGGTTTTGCCATCAATTTGATCATCCATGTGAATAGATAGAACTGAGAAAGAAAAAAAAAATCAATAAACATAAATAGAACTTCAACAACAATTCTTTGAAGGGGAATGAAATTATTTAAACAAGACAAATCACAACTCAAATCAATCAGATGGAAATATTGACAATACTATGTCATGCATACATGTGCATAAACAAACATAGATAACCATAAGATTAAAAAAGGAAAAATCATATTGTAGCTTATTCAGAGTATTTGATGTCAATGGATTGGAGAAATAGCCCACAAGTTCAGTATTTCATAATCATCCCCGAGAGTGTAAGATCTCAAATGCATGTTTAAAAAATTCCAACTACCACGTCCACTCTTACAGTTCTCTCCTTTTTATTTTTCTTTTTCCTTTTCTTTGGAGAAGTATATTTGTATTAGAAAGCATTTAAAAGGGGAACGCGGCCCAAAGAACTACACAAAAGCCATAAAGGACACTAAAGGCTCGAGGACCCGAAAAACCAACTGTCTCCTCTATAGATGGACAATATCTACCCAGGACCCAACAAAAAAGAGAGCTAATAAGAACAGATTTTAAATTCCCAATAGAAGATTCCAAGCCGTTGAAGGATCTTCTATTGCGCCCCCTCCAAAAGCACCACCAGAGGCACAAAGGAAAGGGAAATAATTTGAAAAGTAGAAACATAAACAGTCTCAATAGATCCAAAATAACTAAAAACATAAACAGTCTCAATAGATCCAAAATAACTAAGGTTCCCAAAACAATCAAAAGAAAAAGAATCAAAAACAATCCCAAGTCCAATGCTTTTAGATTACTACCTTGCCAAACATACTGCTTTCATCAACATCTATATTTATTGCAAGGGAAAGATAAAGGGAAGACAGTAAACCTAAGCTTTTGAATCCTGGATGTGGCATACATTACTATGCCAGTGATGACAATTTTCACTTTTTGAAATGATGCATAATATCCATACTATTCAGATAAGACATACATTGTTCAATCTGTCATTGTAAATGTCCATAACTAATCCAGACTCGTTTTAGCTTTCACCCATACTTCAAATTGAACATCAATTTCCCTTGGTTTCTTCTCACAAAAGATTCAAAAGTAATCCAATTCTGTTTAATTTTCTCCCACATAACCAGAACCACGTGCTTATCACCCTAATATTTTCTTTAGTGACTATCCCACACATCTATAGCATGTGCGTATGTCAAGCAAGATTGAGTCAGGTAAATAAAGCCAATTTTCAATAAAATAATTTCCAACTAAAAGGGAAAGTAGATAAAAAGCATTTCATTAGAAGCAGAATCTGTTCTCAAAGAATTATCAGTACTCCTAACACTCCCTTTTTCTATAAGTAAAATTGTAATAGAATCAGTACTCCAAGCACTCAATACGTAGGGATGAGGTTTTCTGAAATTATTTTCAGGATATACCTCAACGTGTATACATCCGAATATGACAACCAAATGACGCATATATAAGATTAAGAGACAACAACACATAATGTGACAGTTTAGCCATGCACTTTTTGAGTTAAAAATGGTAATTAAAAGATTTAAGGTATCAAGGAAGCGTGAAATAGAAATCCGCGAACATTTTTAAGGGAGAATACATTGTTAAGATTCACAAAATTTTAAACAAAACAAGAATTACCTCTGTTCCCACTATCCAGGGCCAACTTGTTAATTAGTGCAGTTTTCCCAGAACCGGCAGTACCATACAGAAGAACAGGCCACTTCTGACTCACTGCCAACAGGACCATCTCAACACTTTTCTTCACAGCAGATGTCAATACGAAAGGCTTTCCAGTAGATGTCATATCGCTAAAGATATTATAAAAGGTCATTCAAGATAAGAAAATGGAAACCAGTCAAAACAAGGTCAAATCAATTTTTCATTTTTTATCTTTGAAGAGGGAAGTGGAGTAGGAAGTTGGAAGGTCAATGGCTGGGTTACCCCATACATACCCATCCATATAAGGTAGGCCCAGTCACCCACACTTCTACAGCTTGCTTAGTTAAAAGACCACCAATTTCCAAGTTTCAAAATATTATAACACATACATATTGAAAATTTATTCTAATAACCCCTACCATATCCCCAACCCTCGGCTCCAGTTTGACGACCCGATCTCATTGAACTTTGAAGAGGAAACAGATGAAGAACAAAGCTCAAAAGATTGCAGATGACAACGTTCATCAAGATACATATTCTTATTGATAGAAACAGACTTCTTTTCTTCAAATGATTCAAGATACCAACCAGCCTTCTCCAATGATACATCCTGACAGAATTCCTGCCAGCTGCACGTGGCAAAAGCAAAAGAAAAGTTAAAAGAAAAAAAATAAATTTGCCAATCATTTTTGTTTACAGCCTTACTACACCCAAGAAGAATGGATTTGAAGCCAACCGCAATAGACATGCAAAAGCTTCTTCCGCCCCAAGACCGAAGTTTGAAGTTGCTCTATTACTTAATTTCAGAATTATTGAGAGAATTTGTATCCCACACCATCTTATGTCCTTTAAATCCTTAAAACCCTCAATGTTATCACCAGGGTCAATGTCTGCTGACTGCTGTACAAATTCCAAAAAACAGGACCAATCCCAGAGTGTAGCAAAAACTTCAGGATCCTCTGAAAGGAGGCGATAAGATGCTCGGAAATCATTCAATAATTCAGTTCCAGCCTGCTTAAAACAAAAACAACAATAACAATAATAAATAAATAAAAATTGAAAAATCAGATAGCAGTCAAAATGCAGATATTTCTCCGACTTTGCAACCAAAAGAAAAAACTTCTGGACACTTGAAAGCTTGCTGATTATAATTACACGGATACCGCAATAAATGACATCACACTATAAATTTCAAATTTTGTTGAAGGGCTGTATCTCCTTGTAGCCCTAGGATTGTTTGTGATCAACACTCCAAAAACTCCCATCTAAATGATATGATATGATCGTCATCACCATCATCCTTGCCTTAGCCCATGTGAATGGGGTCTTCCACATGGATTCTTTTTCCATTTTTTTAAAATTAGAAGCATCTTTCCTCTGATATTTAACTTTTAAAAATCATTTTTATGTTAACTTTGGTCGCCCTCTCTCCTCTCTCATATTTTAACACTAATGGGCATTACTCATAATTTATCCCTCACATTTTGATTAGCAAATCTATCTCTTTTAGTCACTCCTACCATCCACTTTATCATCCTCATTTCAATTACATCAACTTATTGTTCTTATTTCTTTTTTAAAGTTCAACATCTGCTCCATATAAAATAGTTCCCTTGATATTGTTCCATACATAATGTTTTCCTTTTAATTTATTAGTTATTCTTCTATCACATAAAACAGCACCATCTGTCTCCATTTTATCCAACCTGATCCAATTGTACTAATCATATCACCATCTACTTTGCCATCCTTTTGTATTATTAATCCATCAAAAGTAGTTATTTTGGAAAATCCAATGGTTTGAAGTGTGATCATTATATTATCAATATCTGATTCTATTAATTTTACATTCCGTACATTAGTTTTAGCATTATTAATTTTTGAACCTTTTTATTCTAATGTATTTCTCCACATTTCTAAAATTATGATGATAAAATAAACAAAATTCTATCAATTAGACTTCTAGGATGCCTCACAATGTTTTTGATGCTTGATACATAATCTCTTTTTGCTAGGATACACTTGGTGTGCTTTAAAAAATAATAATAATAAAAATAAAAAATAAAAACTGAGCCTATATATAGACCACTGAGCCTAAAAGCCCGCCATAAATATCCTAGTAAAAATGGGAGGAAGTGAAGAGGTTGAGACCTCTCCATTTTTTTCACATGTTATGGCATTCCTGAAAAAAATAACCATGTTGTAAATTTATGAAATACACCAATTCTTCATTATTTTATTTCCTATTGGGTGAAACCAAAAAAATATTTCCCTTGTAGGACTCTCCCACCATATATACCTTCCCTTCCTTCAAATATTCCATCTCTTTTACCAACGGTGCATAATTTTCTCTTCCACCTACTTAGATTCTAGTATACAATCAACTTCATCTCTCATTCCAATCGTAGTGCCAGACATCCATCCTTTCACCTGTCAATTTCTATATTTCAAGCTGCTAATCCAATCTTATTATCTTGAACAAACTTCTTTACTCACTCTCATCAGGGTAGCACAAGAATGTTTTTACATTTTTTACCCTTCTAGGCTTTGACGTAATATCCCTCAACCATTTTTTGTTGCATTCAGTATAGTTTGAGATATTATCAGATTTTCCCTCCAGAAATGTAGTCTTTCTTACCGCAATAAGAAAACTTTTGTTCATGCATGTTTAGCTCAAAAAGAATGTGGTTATTGGATGTTTTAATTTCTTTTTTTATCATACATATGAAACAGATAATTGAAACAAGATAATTGAAACGATCACTCCATTTGCCCCTATTCTACATGAATCTACGATTGACATAGAGGGGTTGTTTCTAATGTGTATTGAGCAAGGGCAGCTAGAATCTGAAGTGTACCTGACATAGAGGAACATCAATAATCTCACAATCTAAAACAATCTTAATAGAAAGTAAAAACATACATTTGACACCAGCATCATCAACATCTTTTCCTTAATCCCACATGACTGGGTTAGGCCACATGAATTCTCCCTTTCTCCAATCTTTTCTATTACATGCAAGGTTACCGACTATATTTATTTTTTAAATTCATTTTCAATAACCTCATCTAATGTTGTCTTTGGTCACCCTCTCCTTCTCTTACCTTCTATTACAACTAGTCTCCCCCGTTTGACCAGAGCGTCCCTAGGTCTCAGATGTATGTGTCCAAACCATCTAAAGCCTATTCTCTCAAATTTTCAAACCAATGGGTACTACACCTAATTTCTCTCTGTCACTTTCATTAGTAATATCCCTTCTCATTTGACCGGCGCGTCTTTAGGTTCGGCTTAGCATGATCCTTTGTGCAGTTCTACGTTTATGGAGATTCGGAGAACTCACAAATGTCACCACATGTGGTCCGAACTTTAGTTGTTGTATCCATAATTTCATATACATATCTTGGATACCTCTTAAAATTTGTAAAGGAATTTGTTTTCGTTCTAGGGCCCACCAAATTATCTCCTAGGACCCTATCCTACGTGTTTCATACTTTTGACACCAATGCTAACATAAGGAAAGAGAGAAATAAAATTAGGGTGTTCAAAAGGAATGGTGAGTCCGTCAATCACCTCCTTTTGCATTGTCCATGGATCACGATTGTTAGAGTCTTATTTTCGGCTTATTTGGCATCCAGTGGGTTATGCCTCGGTATTCGAGAGGTTCGATTGAAGCTTGAAGAGGATGCTTCGTGGGTCATGCCCGTGTTTTTTTGGAGGGTGCCACCCTTTTGTTTTTGGTGGTACGTTTGGAAGGAGTAGAATAGTAGATCCTTCGAAGAAGAGGAATCTTCTATTTTAGTTGAAATTTCACATTATTAGCTCTCTTTTTAGTTGGGGGTGGGGAGAAATTGTAAATCTATAGAGGATTTAAAGGATTTTTGGGGTTCCTTGGGTCCATAGTATCACTTTTCTGTTTGGTTTCAGCCTTTGTGTAGTCTTGGGGATGTGTTCCCCTTTTGAACACTTTCTACTACATTTGACTCGTCAAACTAATAATAATGATAATGAGACCCAGTTAATAGAACTACCTTTTCTAACAGCTCAGAAACTGTTTTTTTCTGCATAATCCTTTCAAATGGAGGAGGAGCAAATTTGAAATAGTTTAACACATACCTGCACAGAGTAACCATGGGGGGTTAATTTCATATATAAACAAGGAAAAAAATAGTTATGGGAGGGCAGGCTGGGCAGCATATAAGAGGTGACTATCAAAAGGCTACTTCAGCCAGCAGAACAAAGATAGGTTTATAGAGATTCACATAGGAAAGAAAACCAAAGCCAGTGTGTCCCTATATCCACATCCCATTTAACTCGGGATAATCACCTATTATGTCCATCAAGTGATAATCTGATCCCAGCCGAAGTAAAATATTTCGAGGATGTGCAGATAAATAATAAAAAACAGAAAAGAAAACAGCCACAACTGGCCTCAATAACAAGTAACACATTAAGATCTACTTTAGAAGGGACGAGAGAAATGAATAGAGATAGAGGGGGTGAGGGGAGTGACACGTGAAAACATATTGCTTGATCAAACAAACATTCTGCAACCCAGCATTCAAAAAACATTGCATCACGTGCATCCCTGGCATGAGAACATATCCAGAAGGTCAAAATGGGCAATCACAACTTCGCTTACCAACTCTTGTCAAACCCAAGTGAGCTTCGAAAATGGAAAAGCAACATACCAAAAAACAGCACACAGTCTATTTTGGACAATCAATCAGAGAACTTTGGGCAGTAACTCTTGTCAAACCCAATTGAGATTCAAAAAATGGAAAAGCAGCATACCATCAAACAGCACAGTCTATTTTGGTCAATCAATCATTTTCTATTGTAATCAGTTGATGTGAACCCATATTCCTTGGTTGGCAAAGAAATCAACCAATTTTGTCCATGGGTTCAAATAAAGAAATATACAATTAATATATGAAATATGCTTTGACCTCCATAATAACAAAGCATACATTTCATAGGCCTACCAACATCTATAATAAACAACATATGATTCAACTACGCAAAAGCTATGAGAATTATGATTTTTCTACGCATGCATCCTCAAGCATTAGATTCACATATTTACCCTTTTATTGTATCTAGTCAACAAATAACCTTCAAATTGACCCACATAATATGTAAGTAGTACAGGAAAGAGATATATAATTAGTTCATAGTGCACCTCTCTGCAGTAAGGGTGTGTTTGATGCCCCAGATGAACAAATGGCCCCATTGACAATTTACATATCACTTTTTAAGTTACAAATACAGTCTTGAATAGAGCCATCAGGTGAAACCAACACAAAATGATGTCAAAAACTCTAAATTGTGTCATTCAAAAAAAGCTATAAATGCTCACCTAACAAAACACAGTGTGAATCCCTATTTTTCTATTAAAAAAACTATGTTTCAAAATGCATAAAAAAGTAACAACGCCATCAAAATACAAGGATGACAAAATGCACTCTTCATGTGTGTGTTCCTAGATAGAACAAGAAAATCATGTAAGATGACTTACCCCAACAGAAAAGGGGCCAAATCGACTGCTCGACAAAAGGCTAGACACGCAAGCTCATGAAGATTCAAGCCCTTCCCACTTCTAACATAAAAATCAATAACCCTGACACCTTCCGAATTCTTCAAATTTCCAGTCTCTCGGAGGAATTTGTGTTCTTCAAAATCCTCCATGAAATTATCAGAATTGGACCTCAAATCAGGTACCATCTGAAGCAAGGTCACAGTCCTGTCCATAATCTTACGTACTAGTGGGCGGAAACACCCCACCAATGGGATTGTATAATTCGGGTGAAGAAACAGCTCCGCAACTGAATTCACCACTTCTTCTTCTGTCAACAAGTGTCCCTGCACTCTCATAAACATCACAAACCTGACAAACACATGTAGATAAATAGAAAACTATGAATCTTAATGAAATGGGTAAACCCAGTACCTTCTCCACAAGGGACCGAAATTGAGGAACGAATGCAAGCTCCGGACACCTAGAAAGAAACCTCTCGAGCTCGGATTCCAGACAAAAACTCCCGTCGATTGCCATCCCAACATCAACACGGCTACTAATATCTTGAGAATAATCTGAAAATTATTGCAGACCACCTAAAATTAAAATAAAACACAACAATATACACACACACATGTGTGTGTGTGTGTGTGTGTGTGTGTGTATATATAAAACTTATGTCGTCCAATTCAAGCCTAATCAACTAGAATTCTATCAAAGTGATACAAAAGAATAAATAATAATTAAATTTTCTATATAAAATGATTCAATGGGGAGAAGCAGTTAAACTACACCCGTCAATAAATGGAATTTAAATGTCGCAGCTATAGAACACCAACTTAAAACCCTAAAGAAACTGTTTTCGTATAATTTTAGTTGTCTGATTCTGATTTTGAGGGTTTATACTGACAACTGAATTTGTTTCTGAGCTTGATATACAGAATAAGAAAAAAGAACAAATAGAGATTCAAAAACTGACATGAACTTGAATGGTGTATGGAGACTTCAATCAACTCTCTCTCTATCTCTGCAACTCTCCTCTTCCCTAACTTTTCTGTTTCCTTTGGTCCTCCACTTGTCCTCTAGGGTTTAGGGTTTAACGCTTTATATATCATTTTGCATATTTACCTTGGCGATGATTGTATAGATACATATATCGCCTATATTTATTATGCAGCGCGAGTCGGTTGGTGAGACTCGAATATTTGAGTCGGATTCAATAGTGGGAACCAGCGGCGGATCCAGGGGGCTTGGGTGGGCTTGAGCCCCCAAAAAAACAAAAAAGTATAGGTATATTTAACCCAATGCTTTAAAAAAGAAAAAATTAGTAGTAGTATTAGCCCCCCGAATTTTAACCTATCCAAACAAGTCCAATATCTAAGTCACAATTTTAAAACAAAGGTCTAACCAAATAGGCCCAAGCCAAACAAGCCCTAAACTAAGCCAAAGCAAATAGAATTCCTAAATTCCTAATCTTGCACAAATCAGAAAGTTCATTTATTCTCTCCCTCTAAAGTCTAACCCTATTTCCTCTAAAATTTCCTAACTCTTTAATCTTTCGATTCCTAATTTCCCCTTGTTTAATATTAGCCCCCCCATTAACAATTCCTGGATTCGCCCTTGGTGGGAACTGGGAACCTACTTGGCATGTAGCTCCATGACCCGCCAGTTAATCTAAACTTAACTCGATTCCCGAATGGGAAGTTCGTTTGACCAACAGGTTAGGATTTATCAACTTCTGAGTTTGACCTATTCTGAAATCTAATCATGTTTTCTATCTCTTAATAGAGAGAAATCGCCATGTCCTGATGGGTTTAATGCTCATTTCTTCCTTATGACATGGTCTGTGGTAGGTAGGGTTATGATCTTTGCAATTAAAACCTTCTTCATCACTGACAAATTATTAAGAGAAATCAATAACTCCTATGTTGCCTTGGTCCCAAAGACAGCCAACCCCACTTCTCTAAATGATTTTCGCCCCATTTATTGTTGTAACACACTTTACACATAGGTGATAATATGCTTTTGGCTCAGGAGCTCTTGTATGGTTATCATAGCCATCTCACTCCTCCAAGATGCATATTAAAAGTGGATCTCATGAAGGCTTTCTATTCAGTTGGGTGGGAGTTTCTACTGGACACACTATCCTTATTTGGGTTCCCTCAACCATTTATTGATTACATTAGTGCTTGCATCACATTACCATCATTTGCTGTATCCCTTAATGGGGAGTTCCATGGATATTTTTAGGGGGTTAAGGGGCTCAGACAGGGTGACCCTATTTCACCTATACTCTTTGTGGAAGTCTTTTCCTCCATCATAGAGATGTACATCTCAAGCAATCTATCATTCAAATATCACTCAAGATGCAAAGGCCTGTCCATCCTCATCTTATATTTGCGGATGATCTTCTATTATTCTCTCATGGAGATATCGCATTTATCTCAACCTTTAAACATGCACTTAACCATTTATATGCCCTCTCAGGGCTATGCATTAATAACTCTAAAAGCTTCTTTTTGTGGCTGGGTAGATAGCTCTCTCACAAATGACACTGAGGCTCCACTTGGGTTTGAGTGTGGCTCACTGCCTATAAGGTATTTAGGGGTACCTCTGATCTCTACTAGACTTGATGTTGTTAATTGCAAAGGGCTAGTGGAGAAAATTACACGAAGAATTAGTTACTGGTCATTTATTTTGCTATCCTATGCAGGTAGGTGATGAGTATTAAATATTGCATCTTTGAGCCCCTAAACATGTGTATGTTAAGACCTTAAGTGATACTTCAATCCAATTTTAGATTTATTTTAAGGGCAAATTTCTCAAAACCCCCAAAACTATTAAAAAGTGATCATAAAACCCCACCCAGTTTTTAAAACCCCCAACAATATAGAAACATTATCATATTACCCCAACTCTAGCAATTGGCCGTTAAGGGTAGGTGAAATGACTAAATTACCCTTATTATATTCCATTTTATTTAAAAAAACAAAAAAATCATATTTTAGAAATTACAATATTATCCTTTAGCACAAAACGACCGTGTTTAGTGCCAATATAGTTGGACATCAAAACCTCATCGTTTTATTCAAGGCAGCAGTTGTATTTTACTTAAAACGCTGTCGTTTGATTCATTGCAGCAGTCGTATATATATATTGTTACACTTGTATATTTTTGCTTAGAACCCTAATACACTCAGACGGCTAAGGTCTCTTGGGTGCGTTGAAGAAGAATCGTTTTGCTTAGAACCCTAAAACACTGAATACACTCAGACGGCTAAGATATGTGTTGAGGCGTTTCATTGTTCAAACTCTTGGGTGCGTTGCAGTAGAATCTGTGTTGTGCTTTTCATCTGTGGGTCTCATTCGTGGGTCAGTGAAGAAACTAAAGAGTGGTCCTATTCAAGGCTGTTGTCTTCAACTTTGGTGGACAATATGTCGACAAGTATGTCTTTATTTGATAGTTTATGACTTTTAGTTGAACAACTTTATTCATGTGGGTCTTTGTCGTGTTGGGTATGATTCCAGCAGGTTGGGACCATTGATTAAATTAGGGTTATTGTAATTTTATATTAAGGTTAATGTTAATGTATTGTAATTTTATATTAGGGTTAATGTAATTTTAAATTTTATATTAGGGTTAATGTAATTTTATATTAGGGTTGTGGTTCCCATTAATTAAATTAGTTTTTGAATTTTATATGTTGTATTTTGTATTAGGGTTACTTGTACGTACGGTTTTGTGTTTGGTTTTTAGCATTATAATTAATTAGTTGCAAGCATGAATTTGTGTTTATTACACTTTGTGTTTTGATAGGTTATACACCTATTTTCAACAAATTATATTGTCTTCGAATCCATCATGGTGGTGAATTTGTTAAGACAGAGCAAATGGAATATATTGGTGGATCTGATACTGAGATTGATGGTGTAGATATTGACCGTATGTCAATGATTGATTTCAAAGCAATTTCACAAATAGTTGGTGTCCTACAAATAGTGTTTTGTACTACAAAGATCTGATTGATGGGAGTTTATCAAAATTGGTTATTGACAATGATTATATTGAGATGGTTGGTAAGCATCAAAAGTTCTCATTCATGAGAATTTTTGTGGTGCCACCAACTGGAGATAATAGGAATGAAAATTATGATGGGACAGTTGATGTAACCCCAGTACATGAGACTATAGTTGAGGGGAGTATAAACACTAGTGAAAAGAATGTTAATAGAGCAGAACCTAATGCTGGAGATGATAGGAATGCTAATGGAGGATAACCTAATGCTGGAGATGATAGGAATGCTAATGGAGGACAACCTAATGCTGCAGCTAAAGTTTTCATAGACTTGAGTGATGACAGTTTTCAAATTGAGGATGAACCAAATGATGAAAATGACGACGAAGATGCAACATATGCAGCTGATAATGATGGAGACTTCAATTTTGATGATGCAGATGTAGGTGATGACGTTGAAGATGCAGGTCTTGAATATGAAAATGATGAAGTTGATAGTGATACTGAGTATGAGCCAAGTGAGGAGTTGAATGTAAATGCATGTGATGATCATACTGACTATGCAGCTGAATTGAATGAAGATTGTAATGTTGAGAATGAACATGCATGTGCTGATGATGCACCTGAATATGCAGGTCTTGAAGATGAAAATGATGAAGTTGACAGACAAACTGAGTATGATCCAAGTGAAGAGTTGATAAGTTTAGCCAATGAAAGTGATGATGATGATGGGAATTGTGTAACTTCTACAAAGTTGAACTTTAATGTGAGGAGGGACTTGGGAATCAAGAAATTGCAAGTTGGATAGAAGTTTGGTTCAGCAGCTGAATTTAGAGAAGCAGTGAGGGATACAGCAATCAAAGGGAAGTTTGACCTCACTTTTGTAAGGAATGATGGAGATAGAGTGACTATTATATGCAAACAAGAATGTGGATGGAAGATTCGTGGATCTTCCAACACTAATGATGACTTATTTCAAGTAAGAGAATTCAATGATAAATATAATAGTACAGGTGTAAGGGTGAATGGACAGGTGACATACAACTATATTGCTAAGCATTATATTGGGACAGTTAGGGCTGATGCTGGTTGCACAGTGGGTGGAATAGCAGATACAGTTGAGAAAGATCTTCATGTTGTTGTGACTAAGCAGAAGGTTAGAAGGGCAAGGAGTTTGGTTGTACAACTTATTGAGGGTAATCATGAACAACGAAGAGCAAGAGATTATTGTCAGTTGGTTCTTCAAAGTAATCCTGGAAATGTTGCTCATGTAAGTACAATGGCATATAGTGATGAAGGTCGTGCATTCTACAGGATGTTTTTTTCGTTAGAAGCAATGTGGAGAGGATTCAAAGAAGGATGTAGACCATTTATTGGTCTAGATGGAACATTCCTGAAGGGACCCTATGGGGGCCACATGTTGGCTACAGTTGGTAGGGATGCCAACAATGGTTTATTCCCTATTACAAGTGCTTGTGTTGAGTCAGAATGTAGGGACTCTTGGGAATGGTTCTTGAATGAATTGATGGGATTGGTTGGTAACTACCTTGACTTCACATTTATCTCAGATAAACAGAAGGTAAGAAACTTTTAAAAGCTTATATTTATCACATCTTATAAAGCTTTATCCAATTATTTACATTAATTTGCACTTATATATAATTTGCAGGGCCTAGTTGAGACATTTGAAAACATGTACCCTGGAGCAAACATAAGATTCTGTTTGAAGCACTTATATGACAATTTCAAGCTAAAATACAAAGGTACAAGACTAAAGAACTTATATTGGGATGCAGCCACGGCATATACTACATCTGAGTTTGAGCTTTACATGCAAGAAATGAGGAATGTAGACAAAAATGCATATGAGTGGTTAATGAAGATTCCTAGGAAGGTGTAGGCAAGGTCATCATATAGTGGCAAGAGTAAGAGTAGCCTATGTGTTAATAACATGTGTGAGTCTTTCAACAATTTCATTGGGAAAACAAGGGAAAAACCTTTAGTGTATATGTTTGAGAGCATCAGAAAATAGCTAATGATTAGGTTTAAAAAGAATAGGGTTGACATGGCAAGGGTAAATGGATTGTTGTGCCCAAAAATTATGGACAAGTTACAAAAGATTTCAGAAAAGGTAAGAAGGTTACATGTGGAGCCTGCTGGGAATGATAAGTATGAAGTGGATAACATCTCATACCAAGATGCAGGAGTTAGTGATTATATCAATGTGGTAGAGAGAACCTGTTCATGTAAGCATTGGGACATAAGTGGAATACCATGCACGCATGCATATTGTGATACCCCTCGGATCCGAGACACGGGTTGATCAGGCCTAGGCCCAAACCCGAGGGAATATCAAACAATTAAAGTATTTTAAAACGAACACAGATGACAAAAAGAACAATAAAGATAAAATAAAACTGAAAGAAACATTAATTATAAAATCCTCCATGTACAACTGAAAATTGAAACTCCAATCCTCCAA